AAATCAACAGTCAACATTTTACACGCGCGATTCCGACCATTTAAAGTAGCAACTTGTTTTTGCGCAATTATATGGACTCAGTAGCACTGACTCTTTTAGTTAGTTTAACCCATTTGACCATTTGTATTTAGAAAAAATTCGGGCTTTGCCGCATAGAATGGAAACATTTTTTTGACTATAACATTCTGAAAGGATTGAAACAATTTGAACATTTGTTGCAGAAAATTGAACTGCAATTGAAACCAATTAGCGATTCATATAAGGTGTTCAATATTTGATGTGTTTTAAGTGGCATTCTATTGATTGATTGAAATAGACGGCCCAATAACACCGGTTCAGAACATTGATGCTAACATAGAACATTTCATTCATTGTTCAATCACTTTCTTCATTAGAATTTCGAACGCAAAAGCGTTGCTCAATTTTTTCTTTCTTTTCAAATGTGGAAATATTTCCTCTGATGTTCCACTTTTAATGGTATTATATCAAGAAGCAGTGCCGTCTTAGCATTTTCATTTTTAGGGCAACCTGAGGCAAAATTGTTCCGGGGCCCAAATTTTTTTTTCCTTGATATCACAAGTTTTAAAATGTTGAATATTGTGACAATTTCGATTGATTCAAACACTACATTCGTGAAAAAAATGACTGACTGACTGACTGACTGACTGACTGACTGACTGACTGACGTTTTGTACTAAGAAAATCACTTTGTCCCAAATTAAGTAACTTACATTGACTTGCAACTTCAAATGATTTCAGTTAACTATGATAGACTTACACTACAATTTGTACTCAAATGTCAATCAAAGTAAGTCATGTTCGTCCGAAATCAGTTAACTGACAATAAGTCTGTTACAATATTTTTACACGAGTACTCATTTATGTTTTGTATATTGGTCAAAACTGCTGGTCATGAGCGTTCTTATTTAACGAATGAATTTGAATGGCTGAGAATGAAAAGAACACATAGATTGAGAATATATTTAAATGAAACATCATCTGAAATCAATTTTGAAGGGAAACAAACAAACTTCGTTCGTCAATTTGTTTTTTTTTTTTTTCATGCAGTTTTTCTCGAAATTTCAATGGCCAACTAAGCAGCTTGGGGCCCCCAAAATCGCGAGGCCTTGAGGCGGTTGCCTCATTCGCCTCCAGGTTAAGACGGCGCTGTCAAGAAGAAAAAAACCCATACCATCCATTTGGACAATTTGTACAAATTGGTGTATTCTGCTCTTTTCGTTCTGCTCATTCTGTTCTAGGTAGTTGCGTGACATAATACGTGTTAAAATAATGGTAAAAAAAAGTGTCGTTAATTATAGTTGCATGACAGGTAAACGCACTGTTTTCGGTGGTATTTCGGAGTGTATGTGCGTATATTGTTCGGATGAGCCTGGATGCCCACTAAAATAGGTCAAGATTATCACATTTGGTGATGGTCGAGTACATTTTCAAATTGACACGCGATACTTTTTTGTCATTGATTTATTTTCCTCGGATTTTTATGTAGCATTACAGTTATGGTCGATAAACAGTCGATAATTGCAAGAGTAAAAAGATGGTCAATGACACCATTAAAAGCAGAGAGAAAAAAATCGAAAGCTACTACTAAGGCGTCAGGCAAGCGTGTACTTGCATCGTGCATCATTAGACATTTCGCTTAGCTTGGAGGAAAAAAATAGAAAGAAATGAAAAAATGATAGCGTCAACGGTGTAACGAGAATCATTCACCATTTGTACAATGTAACCGCGCGATTGATTCCAGACACGTAAATGCAAATTTTGCATGTTAATGGAAACGAGGCATCTATCGAGGGCATCCAAAAACACAATAAAAAAAAACCGACACACACTTTTCTTCTTTGCATTTCTTTCGCTTTTAAAACACGTGAGGTGAAATCAAGCAAAAGAAAAATAACGTCAATTTAAAATTACTATAAGAAATGAAATGCCATTTCTCAAAAACATAACGCGGGAAATTGAAAATGTCAAGCGGAAAAAAATGAGAATTAAAATTCAAAGGTACGAAGGCAAATTGAAGTCCGTATCGATTTATCGTTGCTGTGTTTTTTTTTTCTCGGCACAAAAAATTGAATCGAATTGGATTATGCAAATCAATGATACAATTTATCAGACAATATGATACTTGAGCCGCCGTGGTATGTATCATCGGAATTGAGCTCATTTCCAATTTCTTTCGTATGTTATTCATTCGCAGTAGTGAGCAAAATTTGAAGATCTTTGATTTCTGTTTCAATTTTTGTCGATTGACGATAACCCCAATTAATTTGAATTCAATTTAAATGAAAGAATCACCAGCATGTCAGAACAAAAACACAAACAACCAGTAAAGTAGTAACAATGTACGGCTTGTTGAGCATACGATTATCTATGGCAATTTTTGTTGCAAATAAAAAGTATGCAAAAAAAGAGCAAAAACTACTACACGTAACTACATCGATCAATTCTGCGGTCAATGCCTACGTCCGTGCGCATATTACGTCCAATGAAATGATACCTGTTTCGTTTTACAGTTATTTCATACGCGCCGAACAACGGGCATAGAGAATACCAGTTTTAAACGCTTTGTTAATTCCTTTATCGTTTATTATTAAGACAATGCTAGAGGTCAAAATGCGTTTGTGTGTTCGGTAGATTTTTCTTTTATCTTGATATTTTTTCTTTATTCTTCAATTATATTAAATGCTTAAATCAATAAAATGGGCGCTAATTTTTGCTTTTTGTTGAAATGCAACCAGAATCGAATTCCTCAGGTGTAACAACAATGTTTTGAGCGTAATCAATATAAATAATTCCTTTTTACCACTAGAATATTAACGTATCGCGTGCAATTCGTTTGAATCTTAAGTTGCTCCCGTTTTGTGTTAAAAACAAAAGAAAAGAGAAGAAAAAAAACAGAAAAATTGTAGAAAAAACCCACCATTTTTGGAATGGAATGATAAAAATCATTTTTTGGTGTGCCTTTTCATACAAATACACCACGATTCAAATAAAAACGCCACGTACAATATAGACTGCCGTTTTTTCTCTGCAAAATACGAATGTTGAACACAATACAACCGAAATTGAAATGTCGGAAAACACGTGAGCAACACCTGAATTATAATGGGAAATATCTTATCTAAATCTAAAGGTTGCTTGTACAATGTGCATTAAATCGGATTTCGATTTCAAAGCATTATGCACAAGATTGATGCCTTCAGGTTTCAATCAACGTACAAACTTGTCTCATTTTTGTTCTGAGATTGTCAATCAAATGTCTCGCTCATGCATTTTATCTCGGAACTTTAATGCAAATACATTTTATTCAAAATGAAGAGAGATGAGCATAACATTTCATGGTAAAAAACAAAGTAAAAAGAACAAAAAAAAAAAAACTCTTCAACTAAATTTGCTTCAATCAAAATGTCAAATGCATATACATACACATAGAAAAAATGACGATTAAAAAAAATTCTTGTCGTTGGAAAATCCTATCTAGAAGAGGAAAGGTCAATCAATTGTGTGTCGATTGTATGACGACATTTTCCACATTAGTTTTTACCGTTATATATGAAATGAAGATATAGGTGATTTTCATATGAATGTCAATATATATTTGAGAAAACGGTTAATTTGGCTCCAATCACTTACGGTAATTGTCGTGAGAAAAACGCTACTACATAACGATAAATAATGTTATGTGAGTTTATAAGCAGTTTATTACGAAAAACATTGACCACTTCAATGCGAGCATTAACATGAAATTCATTTCGATCGCAATTTTGTCGAAAAACCTATCTGGAGCTAGGTCATTGTTTACATACTCCAACAATGTCATATGACATTTAAATTATTCTTAACGTAAAAGATCAACGGTACGTTGTCTAAAAAGTCTAATCGATGAGTGGCTTTGGCAATTAACAACAAGAAGAGAAAAAAAAAACACAAACAACAACACCAAACATTGTTGACTGTATATGTAGGGCAAAAAGTGAATCTCCCCATTTCAAAAGCAGTGAAACTGCGATTGTTTCAAATAATTGTTTTAAGCTCGCAAACATTTTCTGCTAAAATCATACATAAAAAAGCTAGATATCGGTATAAAGCAGAAGAAGAAAAAAATGAGGTAATCTCTTACTTGCCGTCTTTCTTCCGTTTTTATTTTAATCAAACGCATAAGACTTTTAATCGAATGAAACAATAAAAGAATGAATGTCTTAAAATGCACAATATTCACACGTTATCGCATGAGGAAGCTCAGTTGTTTCGTATTTTTGTTTCGTTGTTATTTTCTTTCCAATTCGGTATATGCGAGCACGAACAAGCGTGCATAGACACTTCTACTCTGCAGAGATAGATGATGATAGAGAGTAGAAGAGAAATAACGATATGAAAACGAAGGAAATAGGTAATCGCTTACATAGTTTTTTTTTTTATGTTGTTGTTAGTTATTGCTATAGGCTTTTGGCTTGGTTTGAAAACATCATAAGCTTCTTTTGCGCGCATATGTTTGCATGGAATTAATTGCTTGATAAGTCGACGGCGTGTCAAAATTGCATCAGCCGGCATAATATTTTTTTTTCTTGGTTTTTGTCTATAATTCAATCACGTTTTGGCATGTGTATCCGTGAACCATTTTTAGGACGAATCAAAATTGATTCGGTGCGATGAAAACTGAGCAATTGTGGTGAGAGTAAAAATCTTTCGTTAAACCAAACTTTCCATAGTGAAACTTATAATTTTCCTTCCAAAAAAAAATACGTTGTAAACTTTTTTACATGCATCATTTGTTCGACGAAACCTTGTCTTTCTATTCGATATCACTTGTGTCAGCTTATGATATGTACGGAATGAAATCAATAAAATCTAGTTAAAATCAAGATAATGAGAACAATAAACTCTTTGTTGAAAACTAGATTTCGGTATAATTCAACCCCTCAAAAAATATCCATAGATTCGAACACCACATTTGAAATCAATTGATTCACTATTTAACTTACTTTTTCAAATGTTCCGATTTGTGCCGCAAATGAATTTAAAATTAGAGTTTAATAATCCTCTATATGATCATATATACGCACTCCAGTTTACAATTTTATTGATTGGCTATGGCTCTTCTATGTTCTTATTTTGCAAAAGAATTTATCTAGCACCCCCGGCACACAATTTACGATTTTTCGTTGAATTTCTTTTATTTCTTGACACTTTTTTTCTTCCGAAATTCGCAACACAAAGCACGGTTATCACCAAATTTGAAGCAATTTTTCTATTTACAAAAAAAATCTATGCTTTATGATTGATTGAATTTCGCTACTTCGATTCACTAGAATTGAATTATCCGTGGATAATGAACCTGTGAACTGCGTCTAATCGGTTATCAATCAATGGGAAATGAAATGGAACTGGTCTGGTTTGGTGTTAGCTCGATGGTTTTTATAGCTTCAAGTATTCTTTCAAAAAAAAATTTTGGACGAGTGTAACGGTCGTTCAAAACGGTTGCTCTGCACTAGATGAACTGCATATAAAAATTATGATTCAACATGTCTACCACAAACGAAAGAAAAAAATGTTAAACGAAAAATGTGTGGCAGTGTTTGTTTGAATTCGGCGTGCTATTCGCACTCTTCCTTCGGTTTAAGTACACCAACATTTGTCCATAGTTGGTGGGATTCCTTTGGTGCCCCTCTACGAGACAGACACTTCAAAAGTGGTGAACGTGGTGGCGGCGGAGCGGTGCAGTGAAGCAAGTACTGCGAACACCGTGTAGATTTTTATATGTTGGTGTTGTGTTTTGATTGCCACCGATCGCCCCGGAAGAACGGCTGTACCGGTGAAATGCGAAGCAATACGAACAAACGAACAAAATCAGCGCCAACGTTATCCATCAAAAACGTGTTAAACACAATATTGATCTTCATCAGCTGTATCATCATCATCATCCATTCATTTTTGTATTTTGTTGTTAAATGTTTGCTATATAGTCGGTCAATTAATGTCATAAAATGCATCAATATTGCTTTCGTTCAGACCATAACCAATTGATATAATTTTGTTGGCTACATCAATGCCAATCATTATATCGTCATTATTCCCTTGGCATTGATTTTTATCGATGGAAAAAGTGGTAAAAGAGGGAGAAAGTGTCAGCACTTTTTTTGCTTTTCTTTTCCTTTGTGGTGCAGCAAAAAAAAAAAAAAACAAACTGCTGATTAGATCATTCACATCGGAAAATAAATATCACCGAGATACGATCGATTGGAACCTTAGGTACTCTACGCGCACAAACATTTGGGCAACATACTCAGTGTGCACACAATGTAAACTAACATTATGCAAAATCAATTTCGATTGGTGTATGCAATGCAAGCGGTTAATTATGCCGCGCATCGTCGCAACAATTTAATAACAATTTATTATTGAAAATCTGCCGATAATGAACATATTAACTGCACCAGCATGCTTATGCGCACCAAGCGTGCCTATACGCATCAGCGTTGAGGATATTTTGTAATAAATAATAACATAATTCGGTTGAATGGCTCAATGGTAACTTGCTGCTGTGGCTGCTGCTCTCCGGCCAATATGCAGCGTGTAAAACTCTATTTAACATTGTCGATTCTGACTGTTGTCTGTGTTGTGTGCGGTGTGCATCATGCAGTCAGTCAGCCACCAAGCGAAACAACCAGTTCTAGTCAACTTTCTTCATGAATACGCTTTGGCACCTCGAATTCGTATCGGTAAATTAATTTTTTCAAATATTCATTTCATAAGATTGACTGACTTGGCAGCAGCGACATCAATTCTTTTGTGCTTGAGAAACCATGTTATCGAAGAAAATTGTACTATAATCACCGAATTATTTTGAAATACACACACATACAAACACTCAATAATACTCCCAATTGTTCCATTTCGTGTGTTGAAATTTTCTTTTTATTATAGATATGCATACATATATGTTTGCGAGACTAAAAAAACCATGGTAAAAATTGACTTTATACGTGTTATTGTCATGTGTTGAAAATAATATTAGTATCCTTGAGTTTGGCGCAAGTACAAATTGAAAATGCTGGATTTTAGTTTTAAACTGGCTTAGATGTCTTTGCAGTAAATCATTGGGTTCCTTGGGACGAAATAATCGAAAGAAAAAAAAAATTAGTTAAAATTCCAAGCTTCTTTTTTCAAAATTCATGTTAATTTCGACTCCACTCACTTCTCTGATGGCACATGGAAAATATTTCGTGGCACGCTTGTTAGACGTGTCGTATCACAAATCAGCTTGGCACCTGAATAATTGTCCACAAATTGTTTAAATATTGGATCGTTGGACACAGTATAGAAATCTTTATCGCTGCAACGTGTATTTGACAATTGTTCGCCTGTAAAATGAAACAAACGAAAAATAAAGCGAATATTAAGCGAAGCGAACAGAATTTCAAATTTCAAATAATCTAGTGGACAGTGAAAGTTCAAACTATTTGGGTGGAGAGAAGGCAGAAAAAAACACAACAACAACAACGATTGACACGATTAATTTGGTGTTCGATGTCTTGATTCAGCGCGCGGCACTGTTTAAAGCGAATCGATGGATGCCACCATTTTATTTAATTTGGAATTAGATCAAAAAGATAAAGTGAAATCCGTATTAAATTCCGTTTTGTTGTGGAATTTCGGAAATGAAACGCAGATTGAATTAAATGCTTTTTCTTTCGTCTAACGATGATAAAAGACGAAAATAATTACTGCACGAATTCGAATTTTTGCTTACCAATAATACATGAGAATGTTTCTCCGACTGTTGCTCCTGGTTTGGGTCGTTCTGCAATCGCTCCTATAATTAAATCAACCTGATCGTAACTTGCGTAAATTTGCTTTAGCCGTTCCAAATCCTACCGAGAAAAAGAGCACACACACACACACACCATACCTTAATCATATTTGTTGTAATCTCAAATAAAACAATAATATTAACCAATCTATCTTCTCATTTCATAATTTTTATAGCCTTTTTGGATCGCTGTAAATGATAGATTGCGTTTGTCACCATGCATTAATAATTTTTTTTTTTTTTGTTATTTTGTTATGAAATCGTATAAAGCACACAAAAATGGTAAGCATAATTTGAACATAATGATGTGCTGTTGAAATCGCATGTAACTGATCATCATCATCATGAAGGCAAATTCCAAGTGAATTTCTTTGATTTCAAATTACTTTGTTTGACTATGATTTGTCAAGTCGTTGGAAATTAGCTCGATTTATGTTTATCTACCGCCCCGTTTTACACTTTTGTGTGCAAAAAGACCTCTTACCGAAACAAAACGGTATATTAATTCGTATAAAATTAAATTGAACAATGAACAGTATTTTTTGTTACTTTTTGTGTGCTAAAATCAACAATATGATATCGCTGATAATGTAAGCCAACGTTTACGTTCTACTAACGATTACTGTTTTTCTTTTAAGTTGTGATTACGTGAATTAAAACATATTATAATTCAATTAGTTCAATCAACTGCCTTTTTACGTGAAAAAAACTACGGCTTTTAGCGTTCAACACGGCTTCTGTTTGTTGGCTTGAGTCGATTGTGAAAAACCGACCATGATTAACATTTTATTTTCGTATGCACCTGAGAATTTTTTTTTTTTTCGATTTCTTTTTTCATTTTAATGTAAATGTTTATAATTCTATTCACCTCGTGGTTGATGTTAGATCGGAAATCCGACCAGCCTTGAATGGGAGTTTTTGTGCACAATTCCAGGTAATTTTTATAGGTGTGCAAACCATGATCTCGACCGCGCAGAATATCCAAGGCTAAAACATCAGTTCCGACGTCTTTTTGCTCCGAATTTTGGAATCGATAATAATGCTTAGCGACCTACACGAAAGTCAATCGAATCGAAACACATGAATTGTAGCGGTACATTGAAATGCACACACAAAAATAGAAAATTATTGATAAGTAAATGGATTTAGAATCAATCAATCGTACATCAGCAACATAACCGGTGTCCATAGCCATTGCCTTCTGTTTCACAATGGCATCAATAATATTCTCCAACTCTTCATCTTCCGCTAAATCCCTAGGTTTATAGTACTCATCTTTGAGCTTCAGAATATTTTCTCTAAAAAAAACCGGTGAAAACAGGAGAAAATGGAATTTAAATAAATACAGAACAAAAAAAAAAATGTTGGAATGCTTTTGAAATTTACTCGGTCATCGGTCGAATGATGATATTATTTTGTCGAATAAAATAGCTAACATCTTTGGTTGTTTTCAGATCGCCCGGCATCATCGAATAATAAAATCGAATGCCAGCCGTGGCAAATTCGTTGCTAACTTTTCCATCGAGATTGCACGCCGTTGTGTTCCTGTTGATCGCCGCTGCTTCATTCAGACCAAGCACAATGTTCAACCATTCTCCATACACAATTTGTTGATAAATGCCGACATTAATGCGTTTTGCATATGCAAATAGTTCAGCATCGTTCCATGTTGGATGCTCTTTTTTCAACTGTTTTGCAATGCGATTGTGCGAACGCAGGAAGAGCGTATAGAGTGTGGTCACATACGGATTGACATTCACACGCGAATCACCGGCTCGATAGCACACCGTGTCGATGGTCGTGTTATGCATGCACAAGTGATTGCTTTCGATGTCTTCAATTTCGGGCAGCGTTGGACTCAATGGGTCATTGGAGATTTTCAATTCGCCATTGTTAAACGAACGAAGAGTATCAGTAATCTCATCGGTATTGCCATACAATTGCGACAAGTCCAAGTAATTTGATGCTTGATTGATCTTTTCGAGACAATAAAAATATAGAAAAAAAAAGAGAAAAGAAAAGAAAAGAAAACCAAAAACATAAATCTTTTTACTTTCATTCACCTTTTTGGCCTGGTTAAATATTAATAAATTTGCATGAAATTGATGCGGATATTGCAAGTGATGTGGTATTGCGATACAATTGACCAAAGTAAAAACAGAAGTTTCACTATTTGTTTGAATAAAATTCGTTCTTGTTTGTTCCCGAGACCTTTTCCGTTCGTTGTGATATTTTTCGCATGCCAATGAAATGGAACTAATTTGTCTTTTTCCCTCACTCTCTCGATGTAGCATTTGTGAGTATTTGTCGTTATGCACGGTTTAATTCATGGTCACACGAGAGATGTTCTCGACTCGTTTAATTGAATTTCATTGATTGTTTTGCGATTGAAATCATACTTAATGCTTGAACATTTACGAATCAAAGAAAAACAACAACAACATAAAAAGTAAAGAATCTGCTTCTGCATTCACCTGTTGTGCTGGCCCGAATGAGCAATTTGCGTTCACATTGAGCGCACTGCGCACGTAATTCAAACATGATGGCAATCGATTGTAGTCTTCACCGTTCACATCGATCATGAGAGGAGCACAGGCTGGATGTCGATATCGTGGCGGTGCGTTGGTTGCATCTTCAGCACAACATTCAATGGGATTGCCATTACCTTGATCCATGAAAAAATATTTTAAAAATAGACGAATATAGAGAGAGAAAAGCGGTTATTTTTTTTTGGCAAACTGTAAATGGTTTTTTATGTGACATTTGCTAACGCACTCATTATTTGAAAAACAGTGCGAACAAGATCATGTTCAATGAACTGTGACCATTGAACCAATGCTACATTCCGTTCCTCGTCTACAACACCTTCATAAGTGGCCGCTTCCTCGTTAATTAAACTCATGTCTGGTCGCGTTAGTTCAAAAAATGAATTGCTAATATTTTTTGGTGACGGCAAATCAAACATCTGTATTGGTTGAACAACCGAAAAAAAAAAAGAAAAACAAAAGCAAATGATTGAATTATTACCGTCGGACCAACAAATGAATGCAAAACCATACTTTTGACAAGCCATCGGCGTAATGTGCTGGTAAAAGTCGACGATATGAATTAATGCTGCTCTTGGTCTCGTTCAATTGCTCACATTTATCTAGTAAATCGCACTTTGGTAGTGTATACGTTGAAATTGCTTCAACACATTTGTTATCATCTAAGCCAGCCCTGAAAATCCACAAAATCGACAAATAAAAACAAAGCAACATGAAAACCAACGAGCCAATCAATGGCAACGCCACAACTTTTTACACACTTTTTGCAATTGTTGTTCAGTAAGTATTTACTGGCTTTGAGAACGATTTGTGCAATTTTATCGTACTCCATGGTGTAGTTGTTTGGTAAACTTTCCAAGTACTGTGCATATGACGATGATGTATTCGATAATTGAATCCGTGAATTCGATATACTTTCTTCCATTCTGCAAAATAAAAATGTTAAAATGTTAAATGAACTCACATTCAATCCTTATTTCCATTTCGTTTTTATTCATTCGGAAAATTGATTACGTTTTCAATTGATTGTACGAAAACTCCGCCAAATCAATAGCCTGCGATAATTCCTGTTCGGTAAAGGTGACTTTTTTATCGGCACCACCGTTCTCTTTGCCATTATCTGCAAAAATTCCCAACCATTCTTTAGTTCAATTTAGATGATGGTTTGCATGAAAATAAACGACCAATGAATTGAAAAAAAAAAAAACGCATTGTTCATATCAAGAAAGTTTAAGCCATTCTATTTTCCATCTAAATATATTCAATATTTATACAGAGGCGGAAAGGCGAACCAAGAAATATGTGCATTTTTCGCTCCAAACAATATTTTAAACCAACGAAACAATGAATGCATTTCTTATACTTCCGCGCCGGAATGCCGGTGTTCGTGTTAATTCACTTCTAAACGAATAGATTCGTAACACTTATACGAATATATTTGTAAATAGCGATATGCAAGTGTGGAACGACTACGACAGAAAACTCTGCCGGCCGAAGTGATGTGAGATTGAGCAATCGAATCGAATCGAATTCGAAATCGATATTCTGGTTTCTGCGTAATTCATTGCGCGAACAACAAGCAATGATTCATTTCTAGACAATATTTGTTTGTTTTTATTTTTTTTCAAAATACCTGATAAAGATGAACTAGTTCGAGGGAATTTATTATCACTGGTTTTACCAGCAAATAATAATTTGTCATGTTGCATTATATAATGCATAATTCGAAATGGATCATTGCGACGTAAATCAATTTTTGTGCGTATTGTAAATGCATCAATCATTCATTCATCTATTCAATTTAACAACAAACAAAAACTAGACTCACCTTTGGTTAAAAAGTCGAAGAGGCCGCCATACACTGAACGAGTGCCAATCAATGATACCAGAAAACAAACTATAATGATGCGTTTCATTGTCAATTCACAGAGAAATCAATGTCCTCATCAAGTAAAAAGGTGCAACTGGAAACTTTGAACAAACACTCAACACACAAAACTCGTTGATAATTCCAGTGAAATCCAACCAGAAACATGGATCGTCTCTACAGCAGCTTTTTTTTGTTGTTTCTTTTCTTCGTTAGTATTTACTTAAAGAATATATTGCGATGATTCAATGGATTTTTTTCCATTCGGAGATATTTGCTTTGTTCACTTGTTGTTCACTTCACTGCATTACATTTTGATCTGTAAACGGAAGAGAAAGAGAGAAAGAGTTGTTAAGATTGTAAGTAGTAACATTGCAAGCAAATTAATGATGAAATTATAGGAAAATGTCATATATGTGCGCTTTAAATTACTGTGTTGAGTGTCGCGTTGCTATTTTGTGCTTATATTTGCAAATGACATCACTTCAATTCAATGATTAATTCAAATCATGTGCATTGGTCACAAACAATTTAGCGACGTCGTTATTTTGTATGTGTGTTATTTTTACTCTTGTTTTCAAAATAGAAAATTCATGTGGAATTTTGTGTATGAGCACCAACGGAAATGAATCGTGCTTTGAGATAAGAAAATCGAGCATGGGACATGTATAAACGACGTTCGAATTATGGAATTTAGCAATGGCTACGTCAACAATTTTAGGAAAATAAAAATTCGATAATATCACCCATTCGAATCGTAATAATTTGGAGTAACGCGAACTGAATTCATTACCAAGAATTTACATTTTGCTTTTTCTGGCTCTCTCGCTCTGTCTTTCCGTGGAGATAATAAGCCCAGAAAAATGGCAAAAACCACACTTCTTTATCGTTTGTATACATCGAAGAAAACAAAACCGACTACTTGTGGTGCGACTTAATTCAATTGTTGTTATTGTGCATACGATAAGTAACATGACATAGGAAACATGTATATCGAATTAATTAAGTGTGATTTAAACATATCAATCCATTCATATCGTGTGGTTTGCTTTTTTTCCCTTCTCATTCTCTCTGTCTCTCGTCACATTTTCGCAACTCAATTTGGCCATCAAACTAGTCTTAAAAATATGATAATAAATTAAATTGGACCAATCATAGACGGGCAATTTGGGGCAGACAGTGAAATTTTTTTTTACTTAACTATAAACCGGACCATCATTAAACCGTCAATAATGCTGAATGCCAGTTTTAATTTGCACCGGTGTAATATGTATGGTGTGGGTAACGGCGATGGCAATAGCAGCGGCGGCGGTGCTGTGGGTGGAAGTGTTGGAAGAATTCCAATTTGAAAAGGAATGAAATGTGGCTCATAGAAACGAAAAATCATTTTTCAACGGTCAAAAATTGGACACTTTTACGATGTTGTTTGAAACCACGAAAATCGGTAGTCTACTTTTTTCTGATAGACGCAACCGCCCAGCCACTTATTTTGTTTTTTTTTTTTTATCGTTGTTTATAGATCGACCGCTCTTTAGTTAGAGTACCGCTTTGAATATTTTCTCACGTGATCGTTGTTTGGACTGGTTTTTTGTACTTGTTCAAATGCATAATGCGAAAGAATGTCTTTTTTTCGTACCACAATCTGCTTATGTTGATCAATTAGTTTTGGCTCCAAAACCAACAAAAAAACGAAAGAAAAAAAAATCTGTCGAACACACGTGATCAATGGTTTTGTTTGAACTGGTTTTCTTGCTTTTCCGCCGCTCATTCAGTGAAAGGAAAAGTATTGACTTTGATCGGTTGATGACAAAACTACGTGTTAAAATATGCTGTGCATACACATAGCCCATGCTCAATGTAAATTATGCGTGCGTTTATTTTGTTGTTGTCACTGTCGTCCTCGGTACTGTAGCATGACAACTCAAACAAATCGCTGTTGATTTTAGACAGTGAAATTACAACAAAATATAGTTTTTCATATTGTCACGCAATTTGATTAAACGGCAACGCGATCGAAAAAAAAAAACTTGCCACCAAGTGTCTCCGAATTTAACGGTTTTTATTGAATGACGCACTTTTTTCCAATATGAAAATGAATCTGAATATGAGAAAGAAATCTTAAAATGATGAATAAATAGAACAAAATTATTAGTTCAACAATCAATCAATGGTCTTTGTAGGATTATTCATAGAACTTGATTCCAAATGCATGCGTAATATGTTGGACAGAAATAGACTGTTCAACTGGTCATGTCACTCAAACCAATAGAAAAGTGAGTTTTACATGCGAACCGTTTACGCAGTGTTCTTTATTTTCTCGCTTAATCTTAATTAAAAGTCTCGATTGCGAAAATGTAACACGTGAGAGCCGATTAGCCAAAATGCATAGTTTAACGCTGATCGATATGTCGAAATCACATATTGATGAAAAATGCTTAAATTAAATCTAGAGTTTATTTATCTGAGCATGGCATGTAATTTGCGAGTATGGTTAATTAGAATATAAATGCTACTATGGATGCTAAAACCACTTTGAATTAATGTGTGATCGCCCCTATGAGGTACTTACCGAACGAGTAAAAAAAAATATAAGCAAATAGTCGAGGTTTGTTTTTGTTGTTATTTCCGAGACAAGAGACAGGATACAAAACGGATAAAGACAAAGAAATAATACTGCAAACTTCTGAAATTCCGTTTAGCTGTGCTTGACCAAAAACAAAACTAACATTTGTGTGTGCTATTTGTTCTGTTATCACATTTAAACTGATTATACTGGATCGAGGCGTATTGTCAACTGGACAGTCAACACCGAATACATTTGGAGAGATGATATTTATTTATGTATGTATATATGCGCACACAAATATTGGAATTTTTGTGATGGATTTATCAAGTTTTTATTTTTATTTTTCATGTCTGTGTTACAAACAAACAATACAATACAATGATCGACACATGCACGACTACGATACCCTACGAATATAAGTAATTGCCGGCATTGACACATATTATCGTTATGTTTGTTATTTCAGTAAGTTCATTTCTTCTTCTTCTTCTTCTTCTTCTTCTTCTTCGTTCGACGCTTCTCTGTTTTATGTATAGGAAATGATGAGATGACCAAGTGGGAATACATAAACTCTGCATCAATCACATGATCTTAATAATTCATTCAAAATTGACTCGATTTTGTTTGATAAAAAAAAGTTCTTTTTATTATTTCATTTGAAATGAAATAAGGAAATTAGAGTACGTGATATGTGATTATTCATAAACTCATCGCCTATCCCAAAATAATAATAGCTACCATTTTCGTTCAGTTAACATCAACATTTCACTTAAACTGTTTTTGATTTATGCAAACGTAAACTATGTTAAAAAAAAAATACTCGGAATACTCGGTTTGTTTGTAATGGTTTTTTTTGTGTTTTTTTTTTTCTGTCGCCTTAAATATTAAGTATAAATTGACAACGTCATTTGTTTTGGACATTCGATCGAATCGATGTTCGATCGTTTTTGTACTTTCCCCATTTCTCTATTCGATTATGTCGTATTCTTCGGGTCGGTACTTGTAATGTACTGATTTTCGGGGATCAATCATAACGCTTGTGTCGAGAATGTTCTCCAAATTGCGATCATTTTCAATGCTTGGTTGAGCCGATGATAAATCGCTGGCGTTCAAAATGTCCATATTCAGCTTCCAGAGCATAATCTGAACGAAGAAACGAAAGAATTTAATTAAAATTGAACATATCTTGATGTCGACTGCATCATTTTAGTTACAAATCCAACTAACTTGCTTATCTTTGCTTGCGGTGGCAAAGTCACTTCCATCACCCGAAAATGCAACGGCTGTTACAGCATCATCATGACCGACTAATGTATAAATTGGCCGACCTTCGAGCAAATCCAGCACTTTTGTCGAACCATCTTCACTACCGGTTATCATCAAGTTGCCACTTGGATGGAATGCAATCGAATTTACGGCGTCCAAATGTACGTTATACAGCTGAATGAGTTTGCATGCTCGACGATCAAATATTTTTATTTGACTGTTACTCAAGGCAACTGCAACCAACGAACCGTCTGGATGCCAAGCCACATCGTTTCCTATGTTTTGTTGAAGAGAAAATAGAGCAAAAAATAAATTAATTCAAGCCAATATTAAGGCTGGTCTTGAATTTATATTACTTTCATGTGATTTTCATTTTCTTTTGGCCAATTCCCTTCATTAATAGTAATGTGTTTTATTTACCATGCACATTACCACGTTCGGCAAATGTTTGCACACAATCGCCACTGTTTACATCGAAGAGTTTAAGCGTACGATCATCTGAGCACGAGGCTACTGTTTTGCCGCTCGGCGAGTATCGAGCACAGTTCACACGATTTGTGTGACCTAAAAATGATTGCAAGAATCGTTTCGTCTCAATGCTCCACAGTTTGACGGCTTTGTCCTCATTGGCGGTCACCAGTTTTCTGTCTTTTGGATGAAATTCCACACTGCGAACACCTGACAGCGCTGGAAAATTACACGATGAACCACGAACGGTTGGTACCCAAACCTATAAAATATTATTGCATCAAAATATTAGATTCAATTATTTATTGTTCACCCAAATTTGGTTTATGATTTCAAGTCTAGAAAATAATGAACATTTTGACACGATTTGCCACTGAACTTTTTTCTCATTTGGTTCGAGCCAAAGAGAAATCCATAAAAACTTGCATATCGTTCATAAAAACGTTCAATTACTCTCCAATTAGTGTGTAAATCCACTAAATTCTGTCACTCAATCTATTCGATGTATCTGATTATCAAAATTCGTGGCATTCCACTCATACATCATATCATGTGGAAACGTTTTCTCATTCAACATTTTCATTTACCTTGATTGTTCGATCTTTCGAAGCGGTTGCCATCAGCTGTCCATTGTGTGACCAAGCAACGCCATTCACAGCATCCGAGTGACCGGTGAATTTGAAGCATCTGATTCTGTCGTCAGTGTTCCACAAATTTACTGATTTATCCGTTGACGACGACGCCAATTTGTTGGAATGATGATTGTATGCCAAACAAGTGATTGGACCATGATGACCACGGAAATGCCGTAATAAAATTGGTGCTGGATCTTCAAGCGAGTCACCCATATTGTTCATTTGATTTTCTCTTTACACAATTACAATTTGAACGAAATAAATTACTATATTCAATGATTGTATCAATCTTTGTGATTTAAGTTAAACTTTCGAAACACGAGCTCAGCTTGCTTATTGAATGGTATGTATATCGTCCTATATCATTGAAATGTCAATATTTGCACGGTTTAACTGAAATCTTTAGTTCAAAATTTTGAATAGTATCACCTGCAGGTGTCGCTTTGAAACACGACCAATACTTATGAAATTGATTCTTCTAATCAATATTCAGAAAGAATTTTCACAGGTTTTTATCGAATTATTTGTTCATCCATTTAATGCATTTAACTAGCACACTTTTTATTTTGACGGTTCAAGTAGAAGAAAGATTATTTCATGGCATGTAGTCAATTTACGTCTTTTCTCAAACTTAGTGTTTCCATATGGTAGCGGTTGGGATATTTTTGTACCCTTTGAAGCGCCGCATACTACTCAATCGAACTGTCAACCAGTTTTGATGTGTTGTTTCATTGAATCGAAGAAACATCGAAAATACTAGTGTTTACGATTCAACCAAACATTGTGTGAACTTTTTCTTTTCTCATCTCTCCTTCAGTGACTGAGTTCAATCAAAAATGCCATCGCTGGACACCGAAGATTCATTGGAGCAGCTCAATGATGACAACCGAAATGAAAATACTCTTTCGGGTCCAATCATTGGCATTATTTATCCGCCACCAGAAGTTAGAAGTATCCTTAACCTAAAAAAAAAAAACCTTGATACACTTTAAACGTTTAACACTTTATATGTTTAGCATTTCAATTGTTTTTCAGCTTCAAATTTTATCATTTTTTAATCATTGAAATTTTTGAAAACAAAAACTATTTTCCTTAACCCATAATATTTGAAACAAAGATATCGTTGATAAAACCGCAAGCTTCGTTGCCAGAAATGGGCCGGAATTCGAGGCACGTATTCGTCAGAACGAATTGGGTAATCCGAAATTCAACTTCTTGAATTCAGGCGATCCATATCATGCCTACTATCAACACAAGGTCAATGAGTTTCGTGAGGGAAAAGGTATATGTTCTTATGGTTAGCTTTGTGATGTAGTAAGGTGATTTGTATTGAAATTCTAACGAAAAAGTTATGTATTTCAGCTGATGCTCTCTCCGCGTTACCTGCAAGCGTGCAGAAGTTACAGGTTTCATCGGCAGCCCATCAGAAACAACAAGAATTGCTGAAACAAGTAGCCGAACAACAATTTATACCAAAGGAAGCACCACCGGAGCCGGAATTTGTCGCCGATCCACCGTCTATTTCGGCACTTGATTTGTAGGTTTTTGAAAATATTCAGTGTGTTCCACTTGAAGTTAGGTATTAAATGCTCAATCATTTCCCATTTCAGAGACATTGTGAAATTGACCGCGCAGTTTGTGGCACGAAATGGTCGTCAGTTTTTGACGAATTTAATGAATCGTGAACAGCGTAATTATCAATTTGACTTTTTGCGGCCACAGCATTCGCTCTTCCAGTATTTTACCAAACTGTTAGAACAGTATACAAAGATATTGATTCCGCCAAAGGACTTGATGGCACGATTAAAAACTGAGAGTACGCATGGACGCGAGAGTTCAAACACGGTTTTGGAACAAGTGAAATATCGTGCTAATTGGCAGAGACATCAGGAAGCTCAGCGAAAGAGAGAAGAGGAGAAAATTGAACGCGAACGAGGTATTTTGCACAGATTATTTAACAAATTTATCCTATTGACTAATAATTAATTAATGCATTTCATGTTCACAGTTGCATACGCTCAAATCGATTGGCATGACTTTGTTGTCGTCGAAACGGTTGATTATCAACCATTCGAAACCGGCAATTTCCCGCCACCCACTACCGCAACCGAAGTCGGTGCCAGAGTTCTGATGGAAGTAAGAGTACCAACAAACGCTTCACTTCTTGAAATGATCAATAACTCGCTTTGATATGAAACGCTAATCAAACCATTTTTTCTCTCTTCAAAACAATAGGAGCGTATGTTAGAAGAAGACGGAGACATTGAAATGCAAATTGAGTCCGATGAAGGGAGCGACACAGAAGGGCCAATATCTATTAAATTGTCAACGATGGAAAACCGTATTGGAATGCCTTCTCTATTAGCCAAGCGAGACAATGTTCAGGTGCAGGATATGGACGAAGCATCAAGCGATGACGAAGCAAATCACGATGGAAAAGTGCCTGCTCCGATTGTACCGATGTTGCCACCAACTCACGACAAAGTCATCATCAAGAAATACGATCCAAAGCAAGCACAAAAGCCAGTCGTCAAAGCACCGGCTCCGGATGAATACGTCATTTCACCAATTACTGGCGAGAAAATTCCAGCCTCGAAAATGCCAGAGCATATGCGTATTGGTCTACTCGATCCGCGATGGATCGAACAACGTGACAAGCACACCGTTGACAAACTCAATCAAGACAATGTACGTGTTTATGAAACATTTTTTTCTCTCTCAAATCGAACATCATTTCGAATGTAAAATTTTGACATTGTTTTAATTTATTTGTGTAGGTTTATGCTGCTGGCACAGCTATTGAGGCAAGTTTGAAGCAATTGGCCGAACGTCGTACGGATATCTTCGGTGTTGGCGATGAAGAAACGGTGATTGGTAAAAAGTTGGGTGAAGAGGAAACACGAAAAGATGAACGTGTCACATGGGATGGTCATACATCGTCGGTCGAAGCTGCTACGCGTGCAGCAAGAGCCAATATTACACTGGAAGATCAAATTCATCAAATTCACAAGGTCAAGGGTTTGTTGCCAGATGAGGAAAAGGAAAAAATCGGACCAAAACCAGTTGCTGGAGCACCGAACACAAGCAAATTGCCAACAAGTGTTTCGGCTGTCCCAATGCCGGCTCAACCGCAGCAACCAGTACAGCCACCAGTTCAACCGGCTATGCCAATTCCACCACCAATGATGATGCCACCGATGAGACCACCAATGATGCCATCATTTTCAGGATACCAACAGCCCATTCCTCCGCTTGTTCCAGGTACATTCAATTGGCATTCCTTAATTTTGCGATAAACTCTTCTGGATTTCATGAACTTAAATTTGATAATGTTTAATTCTGTTTTCTACTCAAACTATTTTCAAAATAGGTGGTCATCCCCCTGCCAATTTCCAACAACCATCGCAACCACCTGTGCAAAATAACCCAATGAACTTCATGATGGAGTCATCGACTCCAGCTGATGATGAGCCACCGAATAAGAAGCAACGCTCCGAAGATAATTTAATACCTGAGACCGAGTTCATGGCCACACACAAAGGCCCTGTTTCATTACAAGTTCAAGCACCAAGTGGTGATAAGCCAGAATGGCGTCTGAATGGGCAAATCATACCGATTACACTATCGCTTAATGATACGATTTCAACATTGAAGTCAAAGATTCAAGAAGAAACCAGTTTACCACCGGCCAAACAGAAAATTTCGTATGAGGGAATGTTCTTCAAAGATAACAACACCATTGCGTTCTATAATCTATTGAGCGGAACTACAGTTCAACTACAAATTAAAGAACGTGGTGGCCGCAAAAAATAAAGCTATCAAAATCTTCAAACCTAATTTCAACTTCTGTTCCAAATTGTAACAGCTTTTTTCTTCTTCTTTATTTGCACGTGAAATACATTTAAATTTAAACAGAAAAAGATTTTGTTCTTCATTGGCCGTGGGATAAATTGACCTATGTTTATGTAATGATAAAAAATGAATAGGAAAAATACTAAGTAAGGGTGAAATTGCAGGTTTTGCATCTGCATTTAGCATTGAAAGTGTAGTCAATTTTCATTTACATCTGATCATTCCTTTGAATGGATTTCGACACTTTGAGAGCTAACTGTAAATTTACAGCCTTTAATTCGAAATGGAAATTCTTTTCTGTCGCCATTTCTGATTACTTACAGTAACACTTTATAGCGCTATTCTTGATCCGAAATTGATCAACGCGCAGCAACTTTATTTCAATAGATTTGAAACGGCGGAAATTCAAATGAGCCACTGTGCATCGGGTCACCCTAAAACGAAGACATTTGACATTCTTGTGTATACAGCTGTCAGTCGAGTGCATTTACCAATCAAAATTAAAAATCGGCTGATACACAAAATAAATAAAGCAACAAAAGAACACGAGAAAATAGAACAACTGAGAAAATGGATTCAGTGGATTCATCGAATCCAACAAAGTTTATGTGCAGAGTTTGTGGCGAGGCTGGCCATTATGATTTGTGGGAAATGAAATTCCGGTGCAACGACACAGATGTTATGCTAATTGAGGCGTTCAACAGCTTTTCAAGTCTAAGCAATGTGAGTAACTTTCTAATTCTATGCCTGGTATTGGTCGAAGACGCTATTCGTTTTTAACTTGATGTGATGACTAAAGATTTTTGACTTTTCTAGGAATCTGCGGAGATTTATTTGTGTGAATTATGTACGGAATCGCTGACATTAGCCTATTCATTTTGGCAACAAGTCAAGGAATCGGATGAAAAATTCATGAAAGAATCAGAGAAAAAAGAAGAACAACAAAATGAAACCGAAGCTGAAGAGAATCGAATGATAGAATTTGTTGACATTGTTCCCGAGCAATTGAGCAAAACCGATTCATTAAGCACGCCAGTCAAGCGAAAAATACGTAAAACCAAGCCAAAGCCAAGTGAATCACCGGATACGAATGAGAAAAAAATTGGAGTAAACATTGCCTTACCACATTTTGTAATCGCAAATGCTGAATTTGATGAGCATGAAACGCAGGACACCATCGAAAATGGTATTAAAAATGGGGATGGCGACTCACAATCGGATTCGGAATCGTATCGTAAAAAAATCAAAACGTTAAAACCATCAGCCGTTATACCACCGGATTTGGATAAAATCAATGAACTGTGCATGTCACCGATGGAAATTGACGGTGATACACAATCAATTTACAAATGTAGCCATTGTCCAAAAGCGTTTGCCGCTCCGCATCATCTTATGATTCACATGAGAAAGTCACACATGTGCCAATACTGTTTGGCCACATTTGCCAAAATCAACGATCTCTACAGCCATGTCAAAGAGATGCATAAAACTTTTGACTGCCTGCTGTGCAGCAAAGAGTTCCAATCGAATGTGAGTAATTCTCTAATTCTATGTCTGGTGTGGTAATCGAATACACAATTCCTTCTTCATTTGATGTATTGACAAAATGTTCTCGATTTATCTAGGGCAATCTAAGGCAGCACATGCGAAAGAACCACTCCATCTTCTTACCCGCGCACATATCGCTTTTAAACATAAGTGATTTAAATCAATGAACACGATTTAATTATTAGTTTTTTTTATTGTAAAAATGTCATTAATAAAACAATTGTATTTGTCAAGCGTTAAACAAACACAAAAATTAAAAAAAAAGAAGAAAAAAATAAAGCAAAGAAATAAAATTACATAAAATCAGTACAATTGGTCTAAATTCTTCGGCGTTTCTTGACTTTTAGTAGCGAAATTTCATCTTTTTCCAAGGAAATAGAACTTTTAGTAGCAATTGATGTTATTCTATGGAAGTTGTATTCGATACACTTCGATTCTTGGACTTCCATGTCAATTTTTTGTTCATCTGTTTGATACTCTTTGGTAATCTCATCTAATACGCCGTACATTGCATTCTTTTGACAAACATTATTGGGGACAACATTCAGTTTGACGATTTTCGGCCGAAGATATTGAATCAGAAACTTGATTTCGTCGTGACTTGAATGATTTGAATAGCAAACCGAATAGGAGTTGGGCACTTCAGCATGTGATTCATAATGTATATCGTTTGCGGCTAATTTCCTCCATTTCATCGCCGTCGGCCGAATTATGCAAATGTGACGCTCGTCCAGCTTGGGTAAGCATAAACTTTTCCTTAGTTTCCATTGATTGGCATTGCCTGACGGGCACAAGTGAATTCGGCCACAGTGATATGGATTATTGCTAATATATGTGTCAATGTCGGGAATATACACGTAATCTTTGAATGTTGCATTTGTAACATGGATTTTAACTTTAAAATATTGTGAAAGTTGCACAAGAAGAAATTCATAGCCATAGTTGGCGGGTGGTCGAATATATACGATATTCTTTGGATTTGCCTCTAACCATTTTTCAGTCAATTCAATTATTGTGTTAATACTTTCGCGTTGTTTTGGAAAATATGCATAGTCCAATGATAAAAACGTTGAATCCAAATACAAACAGTCTAAATTGATGTTTTCGTGAAACTTTTTCAAAGCAATGATCCCTTCGATATCTTCACGATATAATCTGTGGAATGAAATTCAATCGATCATTGGAGTCCGTTTTAAATCCGAAGAAATACTTGATATTCATCAACAAACCGAAAATCGCCAGTGTACAATATCCTTTTGTTGCCTTGTTCAAATAAAAACATTACGGAGCCAGGACAATGACCTGCTGGAATTGCAGTCACCGATGTTCTTCCGATCGATTGGTCAATTTCATCACATTCGGAAATCGCAAACGATATTGGAGTTGCCTCTGAAATTTTACAAATCAATTATTCTTCCATGTTACCATTCTTACACTGTAATCCACCCAAACTAATCCACTGCTTTTACTCACCGCCTATTTTAAGAATCACCAAATTTTTAACAGCCGGATACCGTCTCTGCACGATAACTTTGGAAATTTCACTTAAATACAGTGAGCCCGGTAGCTGCACCTCTGAATTGATTTCATTTAAACCGATCATATGGTCCGTGTGGCAATGCGAAAGAAAAAATGCTTTCGATCGGAAATTGAGCTGTGTAAATCGATCGATGGATACATATTCGATTTCATCTAGAAATCCAGAAAATGTACTCATCTTTCTTGGATGGGATTCAAACGAAATAAAAACAAAGGAACCGTCTATCGGTTCACTGAATTTATTTGACACATACGCGCAATTGTTTGACAAATGCGTGCAATTGTTTCATGCGTTGTACGGCAGATGGCCACTTTATGTTTCGAATCAAACAGTCTTTTCCCTCGTTGTTTTGATTTTGACTACTTTGGCCAGAGAATGAACGTAAACAGTTTGATTGTTTTTATTCCATGCGGACTATGTGGCGAAAATAAACATTTTTTTTCTTACAATGAAACACATGCAAATCGATTTGTTGATCTTTTGGTTTGCATAACACAAAAAAAAAAAAACAAATTTAATCACTTTAATGAAATAAATGTTTGATTTACAAATACAATGGCCTAAGAATTGAGAACGCTTGTAAATCACCTAATGAACTGTTTGAATATGTAAAACATTTATTTATCATTGACAACTCGACAAAGAAAGTTTTAAGAAAAAAAAAAAAACTAACACAAATTAAATGATGATTAATCCTATTTTAAGATGAATTTCCGTGTTTGTGTGTGCATGTGTGTGCATGTGTGTGTCCATGGGCTTTTCATTTCACATCGAATTGGCTGCACATTGCATAATCATATCGATATTATCTTGCAATCGACGCAGTTCGTCTAGTGTTTGTTTATCAATTCTTGATACCAATTCTGGGTCAAGCGAGCCACCCATTGCGGGTTGAATACAGATCACACCATCAGCCAGTGGAATATTTAAATTGGCGTTATTTCCCAAAACACTGGAAAGAAAAACAAAATGGAATTTCAATTGGTGTTCTGATTCAGTGCAATTTTCAAACATCTACATTGAAGTTATTTATCTCACCTGGTTGCAACCACAGGACTTCCCTGCAGGGAAATGACTGTTTCACCTTGTTTAGCATAACGGAGCATAGCAATTGCTCTACCGGCCTCCATTTTTGGAGTGACTGGATTCATCATGCGGTCAGCGCTAATCGATTGAATGCGATTATTGATTGGTGTGCGGAATTTTGATCGTGATTCTCGTGATTTCATCAGCTGCTGTGTTCGCGGTGCACCTTTCGTATAGCTTTGAATAACACTGCTCAGCGATCGGCTGCGACGGCGCGATTTGGCTTTGGCCGATTGGAATGGACCAACTGGGCGAGCTGATCGCGATACATCTGATCGAACGCTATCGCCTGTAATGTAGCCTGTGTGTTTATTTGCCGATGCATTTTTATTTACAATAATAGATTGATGGATTTAATGAATTGATGGGATTGTGCGTATGCGAGGCGGTGTGAATCCAATGAATGGATTGTGATCAATGAAAGAAAGTGATTGAAAGCGTGTGATGAATGAGAGGGAAAACAAAAGAAATTCATTAGTTGGAGTAGGTGCAACCATAACCAGAAAGCAAATTATAGCGATAAATATTAAAATACAAAGAAAAAAAAAAGAAGATTTCTCAACGCCAATGATTCAGCAAAGGAAAACACTGCATTATCGGATTAGAAAAGAAATATGGAACAACGTAAAAATGGCTTAAACCAAATACATACCATCATCTGTTTTTGACACTTTGGCCGATGACATACTAATACTGTTGAGCGTTTGATTTGTTATGTTTGCCAACGGGCCGCTGTTGGTGTTTATGTGATCTTGTACTTGTTCATAAGATTTCATTGATTGTTCAGTCAACTCTTTCAGTACGCCAATTTTCATTTCAAGCAAAGCCGTTGAGAGCTTCGACTTAATATTTGCAATGCGATTGCGTATTTGGTCTCGTTGCTCCTCTTGCTTAAACTTAAATTCTGTGAGCATCGTTTCCATTTCTAAGAACATGAAAAAATAATAAACAAAAATACCATTGTAAAATTGCGATCAAAGTTACGATTTGTTCGTTGATCATAGTTCGTTCATTTTGAAATCTGAACTTTACCTCGGTCAACATCGCTCATTGCATTTACACGCAAATCATCTGCCGTGCTGTTTCTGTTTCGCTTGTTTGTAACTTTTTTGTTGAGTTTGGTTCGTGGCATTTTTATATTATTATTATTTTTTCACTCTTTTTTCTTCAGTCACTCTTAAATTCAAATAATTCGTATGATGATGCCAAAGCTAACTGATGAAACTAATGATACAACTCAAAAATTAAAATAAAATAAAGCTAACACGAAAAAATGCGTTTCTTTCAACCAAAAACACAAGAGTCAAATTTTTTTTCTGTTGAAAGTTCAGTTTGAAAAGACAGAATGCCGTATGCTCATGCTGCCATCTACAACATCGTTGTATCGACTGAAGTATGGCCTGTTTCGTTCGGTTGAACGTGCAAAAACTGAACGTTTCCAAAATGGCAATCCAAAACGTTCGTTTACATTTCATTTGAAATGTTTTCAGGACAAATGTCGTTCACAACAGAGGAAAAAGAAAATGACAAAACAAACTATGCATGAATTTATCAAACATTTGTACAATTTAATAAATTGTTTCGCATTTTTTCAATCAATCCCACCGCGAACGATGTGGTGAATTGAAGAATATTCGAACTTCCATCGAATCTGTCGAGAAATTGCGAGCGCTCATGTCTGGTACATTACAGAAGTGAATCGTTCAGTCTAGAAGTTTCGAGAACCCAATTTTGACGTTATATATAAGCAGTGCGGCTGCCTCACGTAGACATTCATACGAAAGCATTTGAAGTAGCAAAGTGAACTTTTCGACGGAAAAGTAAAGAAGAAAAAAAAAACTCAATTTGATTTTAATTTTGAAGTCATAATACGTGAACATCTATTTTATTTTGTGAATTTTTCTATTTATTTACAATCAGAACCAAATTTTTGTGACACATCTAACAAAAGTAAGTAGACTTTGTGTTTTTCAAGTGACAAAATAAAATTTCATTACGACGACGAAGTTCAGTGGAAAATTGGAATTTATTGCGTGCTTAATTTTGAAAATGAATCGTTTTCTCTGTACTCTATGAGTTATAGGCATTTTAAATACGATTTAGTTTTTGTGTGTTTTCGATTCCATTTTTATTGTTTTGAATAAATTAATTGCAATTAATAATTCATCATTGTGTTGCCTTGCAAGCACCATACTGGCTGAATATCATCATCAATTCAGTTTTTTTTTTCTCTGCCGTCTTGTGTACAGCATAGCATAGAATCGTGAAATTAAAATGTAAATTTTTCGATGTCATTCAATTGAAAATGGTCAATATTTGAAAATTGCACATTGTGTGGAACGATTATGCGTGGTTTGTGGAGCCGATTCCACATCAGTTAGCAATTTGCTATTGTTTTGGCTTATATTTTATATAAAATAGAGGGAAAAAACCGAATAATGGATATATTGGGCATTGTGCAGTGTTTGTATTATGTTGTGTGCGAACTTGAACGAGTCACCCTTTTTTTGTTGAGGTGATTAGTTTTTGTTTTTGACAAAACCGTGTAAAATATGTATTTATTGCGAGAGGGAGAAAGAATAAAAAAAAAAACATTCATCAAAACAGTGACTTGTTCATTTTCGCCCATTCACATTGCATCATTGTCATGTGTCGTGATTACTATCGGAGAGACGAATATTCAATACAGAAGCTTTTAGAGCATGTTCGAATCAAGGACATTTCAATATTAGCACGATACATTACCATTACGCATTACATTTTCGTCCAGTGAACATTCATCGTCGTAAATGTTTTTCTTTTTTTTCTCTTGCTCGACATTTGAATCGAAATCGTTGTAAAGCAATAACAACAGCAAAATATGCACTGAGATCGAACGCCAACGGTGTCATATGGTTTTAATAGCACAAGATTTGCTCATAAAATTGAATTTGTTCCTGCGAACGTGATTCATTTTTAATTGTGAGACTTAGTTTCAATTGGAAGCTGTACGATGCATAAGCAGTGCATGTTTGTGTGTAGAACGTTTTACAACTCGTTCACTTTCAAATTGCATTAGATTTTAAATTGATATCTCATAAAAATAGCGGATTCTTGCTCAAATTCAACATTATATTAACGGTGTTTTGTTTCCATTTTTATTTTCAGAAGCAAAATGGGAAAAGACTTTTATAAAATTCTCGGAATTCAGAAAGGGGCTAATGATGATGAGATCAAAAAAGCCTATCGAAAACTCGCACTCAAATACCATCCCGATAAAAATAAAACGGCTGGCGCCGAAGAAAGATTCAAAGAAATTGCTGAAGCCTACGAAGTGCTATCCGACAAAAAGAAACGCGATATCTACGATCAGTACGGCGAAGAGGGATTGCATGGTGGAGCACCTGGTGGTGGTCCAACCGGCGAAGGTGGACAGCAATTTACATACGAATTCCACGGAGATCCAAGAGCTACATTTGCACAGGTAAGCATCACAGTCTCGGCTTGATACTACATAAATTCAAAAGAAAACAATCTTACAAATTTTCTTCAATTTTTCATTAAAAAACGAACACATCTTACTAAAATACCATCTTCTTTTTTTGTTTTGTTACAGTTCTTCGGTAGTTCGAATCCATTTGACATCTTCTTCTCAACCAGCGGCGATCCCAACAGAATGTTCGAATCGAATATGTTTGGTGGTATGGATGATGATAGCGGTGATGCATATTCGCATATTAATGGCATGTTTGGTGGACCAGGCGGAAGAGGAGGCCCAGGCGGTGCATTCCGTTCACAATCATTCAACGTGCACAATCAATCGCCAAATCGAAAACGAGGACAACAAGATCCACCAATTGAACATGATTTGTACGTAAGCCTAGAAGACATCGACAAAGGTTGCACGAAAAAAATGAAAATATCCCGAATGGTGATGCAACAAGATGGTACAGCGCGCAAAGAGGAAAAAGTGCTGAATATCACAGTGAAACCAGGATGGAAGGCTGGAACAAAGATCACATTCCAACGTGAAGGTGATGTGATGCCAGGCAAAATTCCAGCCGACATTGTGTTCATCATTCGCGATAAGCCACATGCAACATTCAAACGAGAATCAAGTGATATTCGATACACAGCCAAAATCACACTAAGACAAGCATTGTGTGGTGTTACGGTTCGTGTACCAACGCTGAGCGGCGAAGCAATCACATTAAATACAACAAACGAGGTCATCAAACCGAATACAGTTAAACGAATCCAGGGTAAAGGTCTACCATTCCCAAAAGAGCCATCACGACGAGGTGATCTATTGGTTGCGTTCGAAATTCAGTTCCCCGACCGATTAACGCAAGCAACGAAAGATATACTTGCAGACCTATTTCCCAATTAAATAACGGGTATTACCTAGCTTGAAACTAAGCGAAACGGTTTCGACTGATGACAAATCACACATTGGAAGCATTTTTGAAATGCTTTTGGAGGAAATCATTTATTGCAGTTTTCACACAATATTCCAATAATTTTTTTGTCTGAGGATTTTCGCGTGCGCATCTATCTCATTAATTCTTTTTCTTTTGTCATTTTTTAATCCGTTGAACATATTATTAATATATATATATATACAGTATACACCTAATATAGAATATTGTAAAGATAAAATATTGCATTAAACAATTGGCAATCAATGCGAATAATTTCGAGGCTAAAAATTAAATTTGTTTTTCATTTGGTTCGATTTCGGATGCACGTTGCAAAGTACTCCAACAAGTAGTGTGGTGTCACCAACATCAGTCACTGAATCAATTTATCTCTATATTAAATTTTGTATGAGCTGATTTGTCGAAATACATTGAAATCTAAATTTATGCGACCGCCTCGAAATTTTGACCATTTCCAATTGCCGAACGCATCGATTGTCATGTAAATAGCGACTGTTAACCACTCAAATCTAGCAGAGAATCATACATAGTTCAGATGTATCATGTAACTCATCTCATACTAGCGTCGTGAATTCTATTCTAGCATTACAATTCTTTGCCGATTTGTTAACGCTCGTAATGATGAGGAATTTGTGTGAAAATGAATAGAATACAGACTATAACGACATTGTATTTAGTGATAAGTGTGATTGAGGAGAAATAAGTTTTCAATAAACAACGTACGTTTTAGTACAAGTAAAATAATGAAGAAAAAAAAAAAGATGTGTTTTACTGTTTTCCATTTGTTTATCATTTGAGATGAGCAAAAAAAAAACGTCGAGCTATGACGCTATCACTGTTCTCGATGTTTCTAGAACATCACAAAGTGTTCAACACCTAGTGATTGTTTTTTCATTTTGAATGTTTATGTTTTCGGAACTGTCAGACTTTGGATTGTTTTGTAAACATATGAGTCTCCAGAAGAATGAGAAACAAAAATCATATTTAAATATTTGTAATATCGAAAAGAATTCTGCATCATTTTCATATTGTCCTATATTATTCAACAACGATATATACATGTGTCTATCTCTATTTTTATCATACACATCCATACACACACACACACACACACACTGTCTTTCTTTGTAATCGATTTTGAAAGCTGGCATTTCAAGTGCATTTTGCTTGTCAATGTTATTGCAAAGACAGTGCCTCCTATATCAAAAATTTGGAACCAGGAAGACAACAGCGCCATATTATATGTGTAATATATATACACACTATTGGAATTGTATTGTACATGTTCGACATTAATTGGTGTATATATTTTTTTCTTTCATTGTGATGCAGTGAAAAGAGAGTTTTGTTTTATTTATTTTGAAACGAAAGAGAAACGAAAGAAAAACGGATGCACCATCAATCTCATTTTTTTCGTTCTTGCCGTTTTTCTTAAATTTCATTGTGGCAATACATTTGTGGCATTTATTCATTGAGCTTGTTAATGACTTTGACTAAATAATTAATAAGTACGATTAGCCTTGTTTTGTGCGTGTATTTTTTTTTTGTTAAGAACAAATTCAGTGACAATCGAACGGAGGAATATTTTGAAAACGGTTTTAAATCGAAATTATTTCATGTGGAATAATCTTTAGACACTAGACACAAAATGCAGACTAATTTAGATATTTCGAAGGCGTTGCAACAAATTGAAGCTATCAAAAAAGCCGTCGATGACTCGGACATTCCGAAGTTGCAGGCCAGCACGGCTGATAGCCTCAAAACAATTTTGCATATTTTACAAGATCCAATATTTCGTAGTATCATCCAAATCGAAGATTCAGCTGCCGAACTCAATTCGCAAATCATGCAACATCCATCAATGTAAGTACTCCTAAGTTAGTGTCTGTGTAGAGTTTAACATGATTGCGTTGACATTTGCATAGTGATTAGATGATTGCCACGGTACACATCATTGTTGTGAACATGCATTCTGAATCGATTCTGATTGGTATTAATTAATGACCTGTTTCAGGTTAATGAACGAGGAATGAAGTTTGTAATGAATGAGCTTGAAAAATATGTTGAAGATTTCTTTCTTTTTTCGATGGTGATTTTGACAATTAATTATGAATTGAAAATTGCAGGTTGCCAGATGACTTCGATATCAGTTTGTCAGGTGATTTAATAATCAATGTTCCTCCGGTAATGGATATGTATGGTGGTGACTATGTCGATGAGCAACGTGTACCGTCGGCTCAACTATCTCCACGCAGTCCAAACAGTCCAAGTATTTCAAGTAAATTAGAATACAATCAACATTCGGATGTGAGCCGTTTGGATGATGAACGCCCACAATCGGCAGCTACCAATGATACGGCAAACTTTTCGACCGATATCATGGCATCGGAATGTGTTCAAATTCAATCAATCGAACTGGTCAATGATGGAACTGGTTTGGGATTCGGAATTATCGGTGCTCGAACATCCGGTACAATAGTAAAAACGATCAAACCGGGCGGTGTGGCTGATCGTGATGGTCGACTCATCAGTGGTGATCACATTTTACAAATTGGTGACGTTAATTTGCAAGGCATGAACTCGGAAGAAGTGGCCAATGTACTTAGACGATCGGGAACGCATGTTCGTCTCGTTGTCGCACGACCAATCGATCCAATCAAAGCGAATAGTCAAGATGTTGACTCCTCGGCTATTGTTCCAGCAAGGTAACAACATTAAACTCAAATGAGAGTCTCTCATTGGCGAATAATAAACATTTAACTTAATTCGCAGGCTTCTTTCGGATCGAAATAAACTCGAGCGGTACTTATTGGATGCTGGCTATGCTGATATCCTCGGATTTTCAACACCCCAATCAACGCCGACGCCCACAGCAAATGACAAGTTCTTGTTCAACGAAAGCGCTGAGGATCCAATGGTGAACCGCTCGAAGATGTCATTACCCACCGAATTGGATATGCCCGAAACGGAACGATTTGTTGTCGAGCTTAAGAAAGACGCAAATGGTTTGGGTATCACGATTGCTGGTTACGTTTGTGAAAAAGAAGAACTCTCTGGCATTTTTGTGAAAAGTGTTTCGGCCGGAAGTGCAGCCGATTTGAGTGGAAAGATTGCCGTTAATGATCGCATTATCGAAGTTGACAATCAATCGCTGCAAGGGTTTACAAATCATCAGGCGGTCGAAGTTTTGAAAAAGAGCGGAACGTTGGTTTCTTTGCGTTTGGAGAGATATTTACGTGGACCAAAATATGAACAATTGCAACAAGCCATTGCAGCCAATGAACTAAAGCCACAGACACCAAGCGGAAGTGGCACAATATTCCCAACACCTGGCCGATCACAGAGCTCATCCACACAAAGCATTGGAGCTGCTGAATTAACCAGGCGACCATCGGTAACATCGACACATTCCAAGCAAAATGGCAGCTATACGGTATCGGCTGCGTCCACTTTTAAGTTAACCGATACCCCATCGAAAGAATCGATCGACCCGTTGGCAAATTTAAATACACGCAAGTTGACCACAACTCGTGATCCGATTGAGACCGCAAAAGGTGGTGCAGGCAATGTTGAACCTGAGTCCGCTTTGAGTGAAAAAACACCGGATACTGAACCACATCAAAGCATAGATGCAACATCTACCACTCCAGATAAACCAAAATACTGGGTTGAACCGGTATTAGCAAAAGACGTAGAAAATACAATCATAAATAAATGGCAATCGGTGTTAGGCGATGCAACAAACATTATTGTAGCTCAAATTAGAAAATTCACTGCATCGAGTGGCTTGGGCATTTCATTAGAAGGAACCGTTGATGTGGAAGGTGGCCGCGAAGTAAGACCACATCATTATATTCGATCGATTTTGCCAGAGGGACCAGTCGGCCAAAATGGGTTACTTCGTTCAGGCGACGAACTTCTTGGTAAGTCACACGCGGGTGATAAGCACTCATTTGACAACGTTTTAGCCATCTTTCAAAATGTGTCTTTCTAGGATGACTTTTTTTCGTTTGCTCACTTTAAACTTTACTCCTTATGTTTATCAGAGGTGAATGGACAACGACTACTTGGCATGAATCATTTGGAAGTGGTTGCAATACTTAAAGAGCTACCACAAGATGTTCGTATGGTTTGCGCTCGCGTCGAAGAGGAAGAAGAACCACTAACCGAAGAAAATATTCGCAAAAAGCTTGACTTGGAACTCAGCGGAACACCAAATATTGGAGAAGTGATGCCTTCATCTGATCGTCTTGTGAAAGCCAAATCCGATGGTAGCTTAGCTACAAGCGGCGGTGGAACCGATGATTCCTTCTCTAAACTGAAATCAAGGTAAGAATTCGATGATGATCTATTTGTCTTATCTATTAAACCTTTATTCATGTTTCATGAAAATAAAAACAAAACATCTAATTCGAATAAAATGAATAATCTTTGTGCAGATCACTTGAGCCGCTAACTGGATTAGCGATGTGGAGTTCAGAGCCGCAAATTATCGAATTGATCAAAGGCGAACGTGGTCTTGGATTTTCCATCTTAGACTATCAAGTGAGTTGACCACTTTTCCAGGGACGGATATGCCAGTTGTTTGTTTACATCAACTTGGTCATAATTCTGTTTTACATTCAAATCCATCGCTTATTTGAATTATTAAAAAAAAACGAAGTATATTTTAAATAGGATCCACTCGATGCCAACGACACTTTGATAGTGATTCGATCGCTTGTGCCGGGCGGTGTAGCACAGTTAGATGGTCGTTTGATACCTGGAGATCGTTTGCTTTTTGTCAACGATATTAACTTGGAAAATTCATCATTGGATCAGGCTGTGCAGGCGCTGAAAGGAGCACCAAAAGGTGTTGTACGCATTGGTGTTGCAAAACCATTGCCAATGGCTGACGCATCGCTTCTGCCAAACCAAGCAACGGAACATAGCAATTCAGTAGATATGAAAGTCGCTTCGGCAGGACGAATGAAATAATATTTAGTTATACCTAAGACTGATTTTGAGGCATTTATTGAACTATACAAGAATCTAGAACGTATACTTCGTTTCATTGAAATCGTTTCGTCAAAATGAAAATTCAAAATAATAGAACATTCGACGGTTTCGATTATGCATATTTTTCCTCTTCCAAGTGCTAATTACCAGTAAATAATAATTTGTACTCGAATGTATTATCATTTCTGATGTTTTGTTGAAATTTCTGCAAACTAACACTTCAAATAGTGAATGTATCGCTTCACTATCGTTATTCACTTTTCAATTTTCGATGAACCGATTCTATACTAATCTTGAGCCTCAAAATCAAGTTGAAGGGTAAAAATAATGGCGTTCGATAGGTTTGGATTAGACAAATGGTGGAAAAGAGCACCATTATTTATGATTTTAAATTAGTCAGTGTTTCCGTTTGAATTGACACAATCCAAAAATTGTAATGGTTGTGACAGCTCCAGCGATTCCCTGGTTATACATATTAGAAGAAAAAGAATGTTTAAGCACGTTAAATTAGATCAAAACAAACCGACATTCCGACTATTGTGAGTTCGTTACGTTAATTCAATTAACAAAAGAGAAACAAGATGAATCGAAACATTTGATCAATTCTTGCAAACCGAGTTCATTCTAGGAGCAAAGCACAAAAAGCCAATGTGTATATTTTTCGTAAATTTAGAATGAGCTTAAATAAATGGGCTATAATAAATTTAAAATGGCAAATATACAGCATTGCAATTTGTTCTCGGCCCTTAGGATGATCTCTAGATTCAAGAAATTGAGAAACGTTGACGACCCCATTTGCTATTAATGAGAAATAAAATGGAAACAAATATAGGAAAATATTATTTTGAAACGATTAAACTTGCTGTATACATCGTATGCGAGGAGCCGGTATAGTTTTATTTATCGTAAATGATTCATTATTCGTATGCGATAAGTTCTTAAATGTTCAGTTAATTGTGTATCTTTCGGTTTCCGTTCCAAAATCACCAATACAAGTTTGCATTTCACTTGGAATAAGCTGATTTATCATGTCTTTGGTCTTTGTTTCCTGTTGAGCTGGGATTTTTGTTTGAAAAATGAAGTGCACAATTTTTGAATTTGTTCAATGCTCCCCAGCTAATTAGCGAATAGTTATAGATTTTTTTTTTTTTTTCTGCAATATTTTTAATTGGTTTCGATTTGAAATTCGAATAGCACTGAGAGAATCATATTTATATTATCGAATTTGTTTTTTAACGATGAAAATTTACTTTTCGTAATAGAAAATGATCAAATTAGTTTCCAAAAGAATTTCCATAATTTCAACACCATAAAAAGCCACTGAATTGCTTCCTATGTTCATTTAATTTAGAAGTAGTTCATAATGAAAATGATATGAACTCCAATTCATTCAGCGATGATATTTAGCTCAAAATTGATAGACAAATAATCGGTAGAACAAAACCAATTCCATTCAAAGAGCAATAAAAAAATAGAAGTTTCGATTTTTGTTTTTGCAAAGAGAAAACAAAAGAAGAAGAAAACACACACACACACAGAAAAAATGGAGAATTAAGTGTCATATTTGGCGCGCAGTATTAGAAACAACCATTCTGATTGTTGGTATTAAATATATATATATTTATATTAACATATACAAATTTATTTGTTATGTTGTTTATTTTTATTATTTTAATTTTTTTTTTGTCGTCACAATAATGATACATCATATATTTTATTTAGGAACAAAAAAATAGTTAGTATCCAGTGTATACAACCGATTGACAAAAACCATAAAACTAAATTCAGTTTTGCGCTTACATCGATCCAATTACAAAATTGCCCTTGTTAGAAATCAATATATATTCAAAAACAGCCATCGACGATCGTTGCTTCATTTTGGTCTTTTTCCAAGAGAGAGAGAGAGAGAGAGAGAAAAACAAAAATTACCGGGGCAAAGCAACATTTTAACAATGTTCCGTAAGCAAACCGTTTTACCTGAATTTGATTTTATGGTTTAATGACTAATTTTGGTTGGAATATAATTAAATTTAAAATGAAAACGAAAAAAAAAATTGTGTCTGAGAAAACCCCATAGCGTATGCGTTCACACAAAATTTTCAAATAAATATCTTTTATTTAAAAGATTTGTTGGTTGTTTATCTGTCTGTCCATGCTTGTAGAGTATACAGTAGTGTTTTTCATGTTTTTTTTTTCTTTATAATATACAGTATAATAAATATAGTTGTTTTTTTGTTGTTGTTGTTGTTGCTATTGTTGCTGTTTGAAAATAAATTTTAGGTCCTCTATATAAATTAGGCTTAGAAAAGCTATTTTTTAATGGCTGGATCTGAAGTTTTAGGATTATCGTTTGATTGTGGGGGTTTAACTTGTTGTTTTTGTTGTGGTTGCTGCTGTTGCTGATGTTGTTGCTGCTGTGGTGATGATGATTGCGGTTTTGCCGCTGTGCTCTTCTTGATTGGTGTTGGGTCATCAAGGAAAAGAGGATTCTTTACTTCCATGTCACCAGTCTGAAATGAAAATCGAGCAAGGTAGAATTTGTGATAAACTTTTAGGCATGAAATATGTGGTGTTACAATAAGGTATACGCACTGGTGCTAATCCTGGGCATTCGTACACTGTGTAGTCACCTTCTTCATTCTCTTCATCGGTTTCGATATCGGACATAGAGCCATTTTGTTCGCCGCTATTTTGATTTTCCATTGCAATTATTTGATTCTTTTGATGTTGATAATGATACATTTGAGCGCTTTGAGCCAATCTCCGATCGCCTGACGATGGTGAAACGTCTTTATTGGGACCTATTCGAATTAAAGATTCCATTAGTAACAATCATCAACGGCCAATTGCAAATATGAATAATATACCGGTTATGCCATAAGCAGGGTAATCGACATCCGCTGCTGCCTTTGCTTTCTTCTGCAAACTGTCAATAAATGAAATGCATCATTAAATAGATGAAAAACATGCTTACGTACTATTTTCATGTGTGTATTGTTTTGTTTTTCTATTAGGCAAACTTACGTGTACCATCCAATGCCAATAGCAAGCAATCCAACGGTAAATGCGGCACTAACGCCAGCAATGACTGCAATTACCCAAGCTGAATTCAAGTCAACTGGTTTCTTGGCAACGTCGCTTTGCGTTTGTTGCTCATTGACAATAGCTTTTCCATTCCCTGTGCGATCCAATTTCTCAACAATTTTCTTCAAGTCTTCAAGCATCAATACATTCTTCGACTTGGATATATCATAAGTATTATCAGTGCCAGCATCTGAATCATCATCGTTTGTATCAATGATTTTTGGGTTGACATTCATTGGAGCTTTCACCTTGAGAAAAATACCATCGTTGCTTAAATGGACTGGCTCATTTTCGGCGCCCAGCACATTTTTGTAGGTATACACTGGTTGTTTTGATTTGATGGCCTCATCTTTAATGGGAATACCAACTTTTTCATAGAATTTTGGATGGCCCGGTCCAACGGCAAACGATGGCTCTTCATCATTTGAATATGGCGAATTTTGGGGTAATTGATAGGTAAATTCCGGTCTGTAGACTTCTTCCGCTAATTGTTCATTGTTTGGGAATGAGTACTGCTGCTGTTGTTGACGTTCCTGTTGAAAACGTTGCTTTGCCTTAATAATATTATTCACTTCATTCCATTGTGCCAAAAGGTAATTTCCATAGCTTGAACCTGATGGCAATTGAGGTGGCTTTCGAAAACCTAGCAAAAAGAGATTGTTATTGATGATTGGGTTATTTAAAGTTTAAACAAACAACTAAAAGAAATTGAAGAAAGAAAGAAATGAAAATCATTTAAATTTCATTTTAGAAGAGAAACCTTGGAATTTTATCACTTTTATACATTAAAAGTAGTGTTAAAATTAAAATATTAGGCGAATAAGTTGCAGCATTCGATAAGCATATGTTAGTTTCATGTCATTTGCGCATTGAATTTATATGTACGAATAAATCACTTGTTTCGTGCTTTCTGTCCTATGCATACAACAAATGTTCAGCTCACCACTAACTACAAAAATTAGTTGTCGATAACACGAATGAACAAACAAACAAAAACCAAATGAACAGCCGAAATAATGTACAAATCAACGCGTCAACGACGCCGAAATAGAACATTTTGATAAAAATTTACCTGGGTATATGTAATCATTCTCCGTAACGGCTGTTTTTGCATTAATTAAAGCTAGAATTAGGACAACGATGAGGCCGTGCGTGTTGAACATTTCAATCTTTTAGTATTTATTATTATTTAGTAAACCATATGGAGTTATTAGATGATTGAGAAAACGTTAACTCTCACTCAAACATCGTGCGCACTCTTTCTGCCCTGCACAGCCCTATGAACCAGTTCACAATTTACGTATAAATTGGAAAAATCGATAAAATAAGCGCATCACATTTACCCGTAGCGCAATTCAACTTGTTTCTTTTTTCTCCTTTCTCCCACACTGTGACTTTCCACAAACACACTCTCTTTCGCTGTAATATTCCAAATGCTTTCGTTTTCTTTCTGTTGTTTATTTTATTAATTTTGCAATTAATTCATTTGACGATTTTCGACGCACGAAACAAATTTTTTGGTGAATTTTCCAAATGAATCTTTCGTTATTCGCATCCCCCAAATAGAGCAAGAATACTTATGGTACAGTAATGTAAGTTGTCATGTCACAACTGCTTGCAGATGCTGTGTGTGACAACGTCGCACACGATTTCGAACTGTATCGTTCGGTTGGTTGGTTCGTACTGCTGCATACTCAGTTCCAACGAATCATACAAAACACACAGAGGTTATCGCTATAGCAAGACCTACCCACACACAATTCGACTTGGACTCAGAAAGAACGTATATAACTAAATGTAATATCATTGTAGTTGTCGGGGCATTTCCATATGGGTGGTGGTAGTGTTGATATTGTGCAATCGCTGGTACTTTGCTGGTAGTTTGTATGAATTTTCGGTTGTTTTCATTTTTTTCTTCTTCTTCTCGTTTTTTGCCTTCTGCTTTTTGCTTGTTACTTGTATTTGAATTAAAAGTGGCAGACAGGAAATTAAATGAAACATTTTCTCTGAGTACTTTCTCATTTGTTTGACTCAATTTATGAGATGTTCCCATATTTTTTCCTCAAGTAGAAGGAATATTATGTTATTTTCCTTCATTCAAATGTATGTGTGTTCCCTGAATGGACTTTAATAGTTTTCATTAAGAATTCTAATTTTGAAGAAGTGGAAAAATCGTGCCGTGCCTTGCCGATGACGCTCACTTTTACGTCATCAACAACACAAGTCAGATACCATGAAGTGATGAGTTTAGAATCCCGAATGGTAGTTTGTTTCGGCAAAATGACAATCAAAAGTAAAACCACAACCATTTGTGATGGTTTTCCTCCATTTTAGCAGTAAAAGAGAATTTCGTTGCTGATTGTGTTTGTATTTAATTCCACGCTAGAACACACATTAATTTATTAAACTTGAATAATGCTTAATTTGAGAAACCAACACATTTTGAACTTGATACTTATTTCAATTTAAATGATTCTTTATTGGGGATTTAAAATGATTTTTCCACATATATAAGGCACATATTTAAATAAATAAGTATAAAATTTTATGGTATATGTATAAATGGGATTAATTGTAACAAATAATCGTTGGCAAACGCTCAATCACAGAAATGTGAAGTGAATCAAATTGGTTATGGGATTTAAAACAAAATTACCTCATGAACGGAACAGAAACTAATTTATACATGTGGATACTACGCCCCATATGCAATATGTACATGAAGGAGGAAGATGTGAGATCAGAGACATAAAACCAGAGGAAAAGTGAAACACATTTTTGTGACTTATTGGTCGGTCGTGGTCTCTGGCTGTTCCGTTGTTGTTTCAGTGCACTCTTCATTTTGCTTTGATATTGGTTGCGTTTCCCGTTCCAGCCATTCAAGAATATTCGAATTATCGCTCAATAATGGGCTAACATTATTACGAACGCCTGCATGATATTCATTCAGCCACTGAATCTAAACCATCGTAATAATAAAAATAGAGGAAAAAATCCATCGTTTAACATCAATAAATCGAATATAAAATGCACACGTTGCCACCGTACCTCAGACTCAGAAAGCAAATCGACATTAATCATTTTCTTTTGGATCGGAACCATTGTAATATCATCAAATTTATAAGCTCCTTTTCCACTGAAATGTTCGGATGAATGCGGTGCATCGACCACTTGAAGCACATTTCCTAGTCGAATGCCAAATTTACCATTTTCGTAATAGCCCGGCTCGTTCGTTGTGAACATATTTTTGCACATTCCAGGCGGCATATTTTTGCTCGATATTAACGGCGGATACTCATGAACCTTCAAAAAAGCACCAACCCCATGCCCAGTTGCGTGATCGTAGTCTAATCCCACATCCCAAAGCGCTCGCCTTGCCATCGCATCGAAGAATGAAAACTAAATAAACATCAAAATAAAAATAGAAACGAAAAAAATAAATATTATTACTTCCAGATTTGTTTGCTTGTAACTCATTTTTATGACGGCCATAAACTTAAATCGAAAAGCGGTAGAAAGAAAATATTGTTGTTTTTAGAAGACATATTCACCGGTGCTCCTCGTGGAAAAACTGCTGTTGCCACCGATATAAAACCTTTGAGCACACGAGTGAACGCATCTTTCTCTGTGTCGGACGGTGTGCCAAAGTGCACTGTACGCGTCATATCAGTCGTTCCATCTGTTCATGTATAAATAAAATGTGATGAAGAGAGGAAAATTGATGAGATGATGGAGAATTCTTCACCTGGTCAAAAATCAGTTTTTACCTTTATATTGAGTGCCTGACTCGATCAAGTAAAGCTCTGTGCGGGTAATTTGCCTATCGCTATCATTTGTTGGTATGTAATGTGCCATTGCTGCATGTGCACCAACGGCGCTTATGGTTTGAAAACTCAATCGACGATAATATTCATGTTGACTGAACAAAAGAAGAAAAAAAAAATTCACCTATACTTTAATTTGCTTACGCTTTCAACTAAGTGTGGAAGATGTTTTTCTGTTTTATTCTTCTGTTCCTATTGCTTGTTCTTCCTTTTCTGTTCACACATACCTTTTATAGCTTTTGAGTTTGTCGGCACCTTTTATTTCGGTGATGTTTTGGTCATCGATTTCAGTTTCCAACCAATACAGGTACTTAATGATACTGGCTCCATCTCGTTTGTGGGCCTCACGCATTTTTTGTGCTTCAACGTCATTTTTAATGATTCGCATTTTCATAATTGGACTTTCGGCTTCTAACCTTCGCTCTGACGGCACAATCGTTTGAATAGCCTCACTGGCCGACGATAATAACACCATTCCCTTTGTGTTCCGAATCTGAATGTGTATGGAAAAACCACAATAATTTTCCGAATCCTTTTCAAACATTTTCTCTTTTCATTTTCTCATCGTCATTGTTAAAAATAACTCACGACAGTGTTTATTCCAGCCACTGTATTGTTGTATTCGTTTATAATGATGTCGATGTGCTCGGTTTGGAAGTGATTATCAATTTTGTTGGTCGTGGCTCTATCTTGTTTAAGCAAATACAGGTAAGTATCGTTCTCGGCTATGATGACATAGGCAAAAAACAGAGGCGCATATTCGAAATCGCTACCTCTCAAATTGAGCAACCCTTTTTGTCACAACAGCATCAACAGCAAAAGAGATATTTTCAAAATGTATATAACAAATCGATTTGTAATTATTTTGATTGATTTATTATAATTGAAATGCTTACAGGCAATATCTTCTAATGCTGTAACAATCATGATATCCGCTGTCAGAGCTTTCATTGCTTTTCGCACTTCCGCCAACTTTTGCGGAACTCTTTTGCCTGAGGCCGGACCAGATATACGCAAATCACGGGGAAAAAAAATTAAAAATTAATTTAATCATATTGGTACTTTGAGTCTGGCAAGTTGGCATAGACATGACCACAACCCTTTTTCGTTCTTTCACCATCATAATCTTGCGCTATACGTTGTTACCCTGCAGGCTCATCTCATTTGATTGATAATGTGGTGGAATTGGTCATGGTTTATTATTGAATGGTTTTTCGTTTACCGCACGTAAATGTAAATCCATTCGTATAGCTTACTAAATTGACAATATTTATTCTTATTCAAAAAATGTCACAATTTCATTTTGATTACCGAAACCAACAAACATACAAAAAATCTTTGTTGAACGGGAACGGTTCAAGTTCGTTCGAAATACATGAAACAGTTGAACTTTCCGTTTACAATTGTTTGGGGAGAAATTCTAAAGCTGTGATTCAAGACTCTAACCTTTTGACATTTGTTTCTTTGTGCGTGCCTGTGCATACACTCTTGAGACCGATTCTTTTATGGGTCTCAATGCAATTACTTCATATGAGATTCGAAACAATCGTCTGACTAGAAAAAATGACTCGTTTGTGATTTCGAAACCCATTGAATGCTGTTCATGGTATCTTTTAACACCTAATATGTATACTGACATAACTGTTTAATTCGATTTGATACATTCAATGGAACGAAACAAAATGAAGAAAAAAAAAAATGATAGAAAAATTACCCGAAAATTGGTCTCCAATCGGCTCAAGTTCTTTCAGTTTGAGTTCAGGGCGATTTTTCCATACCACATCAACCAAGTTTGTTGGAAGCGCAATCAAATTATGACCATGAGATTCAAGATATGCCGAAAGCTGTTGAAATTCTTTTGCTTTCATTAAAAATGGATCGATGCCCACGCGTGAATTTTGGGGTAATTTTTCAACTAGCCATTCTTGGATTGATTTTGTCGCTGGCTGTCCCGATTTCATTATTATCCAAGTTTCATTATCTAGTTGGTTTTTAGCTTGCATAAAATATCGACTGTCAGTCCAAAAAGCAGCGGCACCCTCTTCAATCACAATTGTGGCAGATGAGCCCGTAAATCCAGAAACATACGCGACCCGTTTGTCGCGATCTGTTGTATCCTCATTCTATATAATCATTTTTTTGTGGAAAATATACATCAAATCCATAGCATTTTTTTTTTTTTGTTCTAAAGTGTTTTATTTATGTTTAATCTCTCACTTGATGTACATCAACCGATGGGATTATATAGGCCTGAATTGGTGGTCCCATAACGTATCGCGTATCATTCATTGTGTTTCGGATGCTGCGAACGATTTTCGCCGATGTGGGTTGCCCTCCGTCGTCTTCAGGGGGATTTTCAATATTTGCCATTGCTCTATTTTGAACAGAAGAAAAACTTTGACAAATGAGTCAAATACATTCGGAACAATTGATAAAACTACACTTGAAACAATTTCAAACAGCTCATTCAAAATTCACCGAAACTTTTCAGATATGCTTTCATAGTTCTTAAACATCCTCAACGAATTACTTGAACTCCATGGCATTTCCTATTGCATCAATTAAAATTAATAATTGAAACTATAATTTATCAGAAAATTAAATAGATAACTTTTGCCCTAATTTACATTTGGTTACATGTAATCAAACTGAAAACAATTCAATATATTGTGTTGAACACGAGACGCATCGATCATTCCTTTTATGCGGTATTGATTGACAAATAAATTGGGTTAAATTCCAACAAAAGTTTTTAGTTGCGTTTTATTTGAAAAATGATTCAAGTGTGTACCTTGTCACTGCCACTGAGCAACCAACGACAGCTACGAGCAGTGCGGCGCCGGTGAGTATTAATTTTGTGTTTGATGCTACGGTCATCCTTTGGACTTTGTACAACTTTAGAAATGGAATTGAAATGGAGAAACCCAGCTTTTCCGCGTCCCAGACACACGCTCGTTTCACAGATATACAGGTTTTGGAATCAACACTTCTTTTTCTCCTTTATCTTTCTAAGATTACGTTTTCTATTCAATTCAATTCAATTAAAAATGAATAAACATATGATCCAATGTTGAAATTCTTATATTTTGAGAACCAATGAGTTTGCGACAACAACTAAATGCATGCAATTCGAAATTTGTTTATTTATCAGAATATTCGAAAAAGAAATCCTTTTTCTTCATCTTTCATCAAAACGGTAAGTGATTGGCTTTGCTTCCGATAAAAATGAGCTTATTTAGTTTTTGGATTTTATTTGCTATGCAAAGAAACATTTGAAACACAAGAATTCTGACAAATGTAATAAATTCACGATTGAACTCTATTATGCCAAGTAATTTCGAGTTGTTGCAAATTTATTGGAAAAACCCACGAGTCAAAAGTTTTTAGTTTAGTTTATTTGAAAAAATAATAATGAAAAGACCATTACCGATAGGAAACCTTTGGGTGTAATCAAGTGACACGTATCACATTGAATGCTTTTGATAAATTTGCTACTGAGAAGAAAAAATACGCGTCAATTCAATAAATATGGCTTATCTTGAAGTAATTTATTTGTATTCTAAGCATTTGCGTGTACGTACAACTCAATTGATAAGAAAAAAAAAGCTTGTGAATCATCGCTATACTGAATTATCGATAAGATTCCATTTATCAATCAGCTAAGACATATGAATTTTAGTGATGGTCAAATTGATGAATGATTTCGAAAAAAAAAAAAAAAATTATTTACAAACGTAGAAAAAACGATATGGTTCTGCCGAAAAGTGCAATAAACGTGTTCATGAATATGCAAATGTCGAAATCGAAAACCTCTTAAGAATAATTGCGATGAAATTTGCATTCCATCATCGTTTTTCGAAGAAAGAAAAAAACGACAAATGATTCCATAAATATGAATTGCTTTTGAAGTTGTTCAAAACAACAAAAAATGAACGCATTACTTTGAAGGATTTCAATTGATACAGTTGCCTTTTCGCGATGAAATGATATTGATTGCTCATAATTTGGCCACAATTTATCTTCGCTTAGCTTAAATACAATACCGTAAATACAACGCACACCGGGTATGAACAGAACAATCGGCGTAAGCCGCTTATTCCAAAGTGGATAAATGTCCGGTCTATTTAACCTACAAGTATAAAGAGTCGCCGCCGCTACGGTAAAACTGTATTTTCGTTCATATCTGATGCTTTATCCTTGTTTCATCCCATGGGCCAATCCGAATAAATTGTATTATTGAACACATTTCGACCATAGAAATTCAAGCAATGCCATAAAATTCCGTGGCTACTGTCGTTTGCCTCTCATAAAGAAAAGCTTTAGACATGCGTTTCATGTTTGATACGATTCGATTCGATTCAATTCGGTTCGGTTTCTTTTATTTGCATTTTGGCCACATTTTTTATTCAACATCTCTGTGAGCGAATCAATAGATCCAAGTGCGTTATTGTCTTTTTGACTCATTCTATCTTTTTAGCTCTCAAGAGACTAAGGAATGCATGTGCTGGGAAATTATCGAAATGTTATTTTTCGTTTTTTTTTTCTCTTCGCTTCTTTGTGAAGAGTGTGAACCTTATTAGAAATCGTGCATTGTTTAAGTTAAAGTGCGAATAACTGTTGTGTCATCTGAACAAAAACCGGAATCTTCGGTTTCTCAATGAATTTCCCGTTTTCGGTCTTTCATCCCCTCCTCGTAGATTTGTATGCGCGCGTGTGTGTGTGTATATATATATGTGTATATGTATATGTAAATGTGTGCGTATATTACACGGCTATTCCTAACGACTCTGTGCTCATGAGTTTGACTTGTAGTTGTGTGGTTTTCTGTGTAGATAACAAATGGTTTATGGAAAGTCTTTACGATTTTCCATTTTCACTCCGTGGCTGACGCCAACTGAGACACAAGGTTTTATCGCATCGCCGCTTTTCGAACATTTTCGTTCGGTATTTTTGTGTGTTGAATACGTAAAGAAATGTTGTGAAGCGATTTTAAGAGGAGCGGTCTATCGAAACCCGTTACAATTTTCCTCTCGCAATAAACCATTTTGCAACTAGCAAAAGTAAAAACGGAAATTCATTTAAATTCATATCAATCGCTTACGGAATTTTTTTTTTTTTTTTGATCATCAACAAATATTCGGTTCGTTTTGTTGTTGTTTACGTTTTCTTTCCTGTGAATGTGCATTTTTTTATTACAGTAATCTGTTTTTCGAATGGTCTTTGGTGATACAGCGAATGATTGTTCGTTTGAAAAAAGAAGAAAAACGGAAAAGAAAAGGTGAAACAATACGAAAAAGATCCAAGCAAAAATTTTCCGATTGAGAAGATAGAAACCCAAATAAAATGGTTTGTTTTGGTATTTATTGCGAAATGAAATGGAATATTTCGAAACAAATGAGCTCAATACAGATAAGCGTAGGCCCAAAAATTAGAATCGGCTCGTTTTGTGCTAAAATCTTGAAAATTGTTTACGCTTTTCCGTTTCGTTCAGCGCAAATGTTGTTCAATTAATAGAAAAATATTTATTCAAAGCAAGTGTTGCAAAATATATGAGAGACTTAACGTGTTGCTTGCGAGCGGTGTTTCTCACTCACTCATTCAGTCAGTCACTCACTCCCTTCGTCCGGTTTGAGTATGTGTTCGTATAAAAAGGTGAAATATAAGTTGTATGAATAAAACACGAAAATTGAAAATGTTGCGTTCCTTTATGTTGTTTTACAAATACACAAAGCAGACGGAGTAGAAGGATAAAATAGCGAAAATACCGATATTGTTCACACCGGAGAGAGAGAGAGAGAGAGAGAGAGAGAGAATTGAGTTATTGATTTTATGAGGCGAACAAACAAAAACATCGCATTTTTATAAGTAAAAACAAATATGGATTAGTGACAACGACGTCGGCGGCAGCAACGGCTTCGACGACGACGACGACAACGACGACGACAAAGACGGACGTGGCTGAAAAGTTAAAAGCATGTACGTTGTGTATTGTTGTTTAGAATTTCATTTGTGTTACTACTATCCCGAAGTATTGTAGTCGCGCGGCGTTTTCGGTTTCGACACAATTATCGCTCGGCCAAACGGAGAGGTATCATTCATTCGCTACATTGTATCTGTGGTGGTATGTATGAAAGAAAATGATGACTTGAATTTCTATATATCTTTCGGAGTTTTTTTTTGGGGGGAGCACACGCGCACAAACGAACGTTGAAACATGAATACTCCACATTTCATATGGAGTATATGGTTTTCTTCTTTTTTTTGTTCACTATATTTCTTTCCCTTTTTCGCTTTCTTTTTTTCCCATGTTCAACATATTCTGTCCCTATTTAACATTTTACTCCATTCCGTTTGTGGAACTATTATCGTCACGTTTGCCTCCTTGCCTTTTGTCTCGATTTATTTATCAATACGTCTTCTTCTTATTCTTGCTGCCTTTGTTGTTGTTGTTGATTTTTATATTCTGTATTTTGAATGTGCCCATATTTAAACTGTACCATATGAAAATCACACTACCCCCACATGGTATTATCGATGAAAATTAGACGATAATCCGAGGAGAAAAAGAGTTTGGGATTTGATTGCTTCCTGCATTGTAAATACAATTGCCAGTGCTAATGTATTCAATAAATTCTATTCATTTCAATATATATGCGAGGCGCAATAAAATGCGAAATTATTTATTCGTCGCACAGTTTTAATACACTTAGAAGACCGAACGTTCGAGAGATTTGAGTGTCGGATGACATGGGGGGGGGGGGCGGCGCACAAATGTTAAAGTTTCTTCAGCAACAACGAAACAGCAACAGAACAGCAGCGGTGGCAGCAAAAGAAGTGAAAATGAAATACGACTACAACAAACGATGTGCATGACAAATTGACGCCTCAGGCAAATTTGCCTTGTTTGGGTTGACGATGAATTCATATTCACATGAAAGCGGCAAAGAGATAGTTTTAATCGAGGACTCAGCCGAACAAATAACCGATTTTATCCATGGCTTATGAACGATTTCGAATATTGCTCAGCAGCGCCACTAAGCGTGATTTCATCGCATTTATTATTCGCAAACTCCATCGTTTATCACGAACCATAAACACGAGTCCCACAATTCATAATGTAGTCCACAATCGTTCGTCTAATATGATTTTCGAGGCGTGTTTATTGAAATGACAAATTATATACACGCATCGGTAATGTGTACTGCACACCTTGATATTCATCGTCACATGATATTCACACGAAATGTGAGAAAAGAAGATTTTTCAGTTCAGCTTATTGAACGACCTGATTTGAAGTAGATGGCGCCAACCGTTATGAATAACTGTTGATTTTTTTCTTCCTCTCTAGCACACAACTGTTCGTCAAGTGTGCACACTTGCACCCCGTCCATAAGCTCTCTTTGTCGTCGGCTCGACTTCGTTTTCATCTCACTCTCACTTCGTTGTCTATCCGATGAATCAATATTTTCATTGCTTAGAAGTGTGCTATCACTTTAGTACGATATTGCGTTTGTACGACATTTGATGAAGAGGTTTGCCTTCTGCATGAGCTCTTCATAAATATTCAAAATGAATTGAACATTTTTGTCACGCTTCCTTTAAAATCAAACATAAGCTTTCTGTTGCTTTAAGGGAGAAGCCTTCAAAATTTTCTTTTTCTTCCGTTTTTTTTTTTTTTTCGTTTTTCTTCTTTCGAAAAGTGAATCGTCCTCGTTCTTTGACATCTCTACGTCTTAATGCGTCTAATTTGTCGTGTGTTTCATAGATCACTCAATTATCATTTCTCTCCGGCCCATTTCTGAGTCTCAAATGTTATTTTATTAATTTTCCGTTGATCACAAAAGATTTTTGTCCCTAAAAATAACTGAAAATAAAACAAAAGAAGAAGAAGAAAAAGAAGTAGAAAGACAATATTTGAAATATCGACTCAATTGTTGCGCACTTTGGTGTATGTTTTCGTGTTTCTCAATATTTTTTTTTCTCGAAACATTTTCAGACAACATGTAAGGAGCGGATAAATCATCTAAGCCAATAATACTCTTTGCTCCAAGACGACAGTCATACGGAACATCAATCTTAGTTTTGAAAAAAGAAGGAAAGAAGAAAAAAAACATCACCGGAAAAAATCGATTCAAAAAGCTATGGGTGCAAATTCATCGCGTACGGGTGCCATTTCACTCTCAGACGATGATGGTAAGTCGATAAAAATTGCACTTCAGCGATGAACTGTACACACAGTTCTCGGGCTCTCGCCCGATTGGCGCTGTTTGTACTTGAAGCTTATGTTGGTTCTGCCGTTGGTGTTCCTTCTTCTCCTTCTTCTTCTTTTTCTTCTTGTTCTCGCATATTCTAGAAACATGCAATTATTTTCTGAAAACAAAATGTTTGCATTCCAAGGAATAAGGAACACACACACAAAGGCGATATATATATATATATATATGCAAAAGCTAAAACTTTCCAAGAAGATTAAAATCATTATCATTTCAAAAGCGAATCAACGCCAAACAAAGGAATTATTGCTATGGCTTATTTTGGAAATAACCTAAACGATGAACTATAAGCGATCGAAAAACAGCGATGCAATCGACAGGAGTGCCATTTATTTATGTATGTCGACATATTTGTGATATTAACCGTCTGTTAATCAAGACGGTAGAGCAAGAGAATAAGAGTAAGACAGCTTTTATCAACATTTAGTTTTGTGGTGAGTGCAGTGTTTCATTCAGGTGGGTTTGGAAGACAGCACCAGCCAAACGTTGGACGCACAACAGCTATTTAAGATGACAAAGGTATTCTTCTCTCTCGCAATGTCGCAGAAAACGGTAAATTGAATATTCTGATACAATTTCCACGACCAAAGCTACGTGGTTCGAAGAAAACCATATGGAAGTTCCGGATCAAGCGAGCGAACAAACGAAGAAGCGAAAAGTGAGCGATAAGCAAGCAAGCGAAGAGAAATGAAGCATCAATTATTACACCATCATACATTCCCTAATACGTATTGAAGTTTAAATGCAGCAACTGACAATGGTTATCGCTTATGAAATGTGTGCCTATTTACTCACTAACGGGACATAATGCATTAGACGACTATGCAATTTAAACATAAATTATACAAAAACACATGCACACAGCATAGCACAGCAAAGGATCTGTTGGGAATTGAATAATATGCCATATAAATTCAGCTGAATTTCTGTCAAATAGGGTGGAGGAGCTGTGGAGTTTAAGTTTAAATTGGCATGATGTAATATTTGATCCAAAAGATCAAAAGCAAGCTTCTCGGTACAAAATAAGCATTGATTCAAACAACAGACACACATACGAACACTCATAATCACAACGCCACTCAGGCGAATCTACACCAAGCCAAGCCACATCATGCCTTGAATGCGGCAACTGACAACACAGCATTTTGCCCGTTGTTGAGTCAAAAAGACAGGTTTATTCAATAACATTGTTTACATACAAATGCGTTCGACCTGTAATTTGATCAACTTCAGCATTTGATGCTCCCACACTCTCTTGCTCGAGCTCTGTTTAAAAACCGACGTCGAGATTGAGTGCAGATGAAGGATAAAGGTCAAGTATCGTTCGGGACGAATATCGACATTCGTTGCCATACAAAAACTTTTTAATATAAACTCATTCGACACCTTTTCCGTTTTAATTAGGTTTTTAAAGATTATCGCAATAGAAAAGATTGAACTCAGCCACATAAATATATAGATACATATGTGCTTAGCGAAAGCGGAAAAAAATATTGCTTCTCTCGAGAAGGCTAAAGATAATGTAATTGTTGTACGAAATTGAAAATTCAAATCGTAAGTGTGTTCCAAAAATTGAAGAAAAAGAAGGAGAAGAAGAAGAAGAAGAAGAAAAGAGAAACAATATGAGTACACTTATAAATACAAATCGATTTATATGATATATTGTTGTGTTTCATTGTCATCCATTCCAGTGAATTTCGATCACTTTCAAATACTACGAGCCATTGGAAAAGGCAGTTTTGGAAAGGTGAGTGCTGTAGTTCGTCTCTTCGATCTGGTACATACGATATATACGACAACGATTAGATAGGACGTAGCATCGTTGAGGGAATGAAATATTTCAGCATTATTAAAAACTCTAATGAAACATCAAAAGGAAAAGAAAATCGAGATCGAAAACTAGGGAGATAAAAATAAATACATACCGAACGAACGAACAAACGAATAAATGTATCGGTTCGATGAATTCAAGAGACAATTTTCATGAATTTTGATTTAGTTCTTATATTTGTGTTTCTTTCCTCTCTGTCTATCTATCTCATTTCGAGGTTCTCTTAGCTTCGAAGCGCTCGAAATTTGTGCTTTCGACTTTATTTACGTCTCACTTATTCCACTCCTATCATCATAATCCACAAAAAAAAAAGAAACTAAATGTATGCTACTTTCACCTCCATCACTATGCTACTTCATTTTTGTCATGTGTTGTCGTCGTCGTCGTTTCTGGCTTCTCATCGTATTGCTCTCAATATGTTATCATAGGTGTGCATTGTACAGAAACGGGATAGCGGTCGATTGTTTGCCATGAAATATACGGTGAAATTGGATGGCAGAGGTGCTCTTGGTGGTGTAATTAAAGAAGTTGAATTACTATCATCGTTGGAACATCCCTTCTTAGTCAATTTATGGTTTTCGTTTCAAGGTGAGGCATCAAAGTTTTATATTTGCAACATCATTAATTTAATTGGTTCCAATCTCATTTTTGTTATCATTAATCAATAAGAGAGAGAGAGAGAGAGAGGGGGGGGGGGGGAGCTAGAGAAAGAGAGAGTGGTAAGAGAGTATGATGGTAGTGAGCATGAGTATATCGACGACAGAGTGTGCCGTATGCTTTCGAAAGGAAATCATTTACATGCAATTTAATTTCATTGAGTGTTTTTCATTAAAAAAAATTAATAAACGAAAGAAGAGGAAAAAATGCAACTACTCTTAAACTATTCCGAAATGTTATAGACCCTCTGATAAAAATCTCGTTTTTATATTTTCACTAATGGATGGTAAAAACTGTTTTAATTTTAGATGAAGAGGATTTATTCATGGTGTGTGATTTGTTAACGGGCGGTGATTTACGATATCATTTACTTCAACAGGTACGTATCAGAATTTAAATTCCAAACTATTACTCACTTTGATTAATTGACCCGTAAGGAAGCATATGTTCCTTTTCAACAATACGATTTGTCTGGTTGACGATTCATAAAGATGCAAAATAAATCCTTCCATGTGTGACATTTATTTCCGAAACACATCAAAAGTTTAAACTTCACACAAACTATGCATGGTTTAAACTTAGTGTAAATTCTTGTAAAGTTTTAATTCAACGCTCGATTTTCTCACATACATTTCAAATTTATCCATAACGCTTGGCAATTCTTTCGATAATCATAAGTCCAATGAACTTCATTCTACCTTTATGTCGAGCAACCACAAATAAGGTTCAAATATATAAAATCAACTCACATGCTATGACCCTAGCAACTACTTGTGGGAAAGCGTTTCTCTCTCTCTCTCTCTCTCTCTCTCTCTCTCTCCAAAATTCATGTCAATTTCGTTAAAGTATTAGATTGAATTTGATAACTTCATTACAGCAGCCAATTACTTCATCGTGATTGAAAACACTTGAACGTTCGGTATTTATTAGTCAAATCATGGCACTGACTGGCAATTTCGATTGTGCTGCTAGAAAATGCGGTGGCCATCGTAACTATTGAGCGAGTCGTCGCATGAAAAGATCCGATTTTACACGACATTTGCATTTACATAAAGGCATGTGCGTAAAACCGGCTCTCTTCATGCGTTTTTAACGAATGGAAACATTCGATTTTACGCAACGCTCGATAGGGACAATCGACGAAATGTCAAAGTGACAATAGACGTTAACAGCGAGTACAACTACCATTTGGTTTGACGTTTTGCTATCAAGTTAGTCCAAGTAGCTTAAATGTAAGTGAAGTAACAGTAAAGTATTGAGCTTCATTTTAAGTCTACTGTTAAGTCTAAACCCAAATGATTTCTACAAAACTCAATAGATGACGTTAGGGTCTAGCATTTGCCTTGTGATTTCCCGGTTGTCATTGTTTTCCAGGCTGTGTTATTAACAGTGATAGAGCGAATTTTAAGATAATTTTGATTATTCCAACCCCTTATTCTGGAAAAGTTCTAACTGCCTATATAAATCTCTGAACAGTTTGTGGAAGAACGGAGTGAAGTATTTTTCTATAGAGCATAAATTCCAACATATTTTAAACTTGGCAAAACAGTTTTTGACAACTTCTTGCCAAGAACTTAATATATTTTCAACATTCTGTTATCTATTATCATGCACAATTTGCAAAGTAAAAAATGGCGAATTTTATTCCCATTTTCAGAAGTCTGCTTTCTATTTATGTCTCTCTATTCCCCCTCTTTCTTCATCACTCTTTCGTTGCACTCACGCCTCCGCGTGTATTTACTCATATGCAAAACAAGATTTTAACATGAATGCCAGAGAATCTAATTAAATTCGAATAATTGAAACAACACATTAATGTTTTAAAACCTTTGGATTAATATTTTATGCGACGTTCATTAGCGGTATGCTTTCAAGCACCAAAATCACAAGATGTTATTGAAATCGATTTTTCTTCTCTTTCCCCCTTCATTCACTCACTTCAACGAAAAAATGAAAAAAATTCAAAAATACACACGGAAAATTAGGTGGAATTTTGCGAAAAAAGTGTATCATTATTGGTGTGCGAGCTTGGTTCAGCACTCGAGTACTTACGACATCAGCGTGTTATTCACAGGTAATTTTCCATCAGATCGGCACCAATGAGAAAAAACCCACCGTATACGTCTAGTGTAATTAATCAATGAAATGTTAATAAATCATATTTTGAATTAAATCAATTTCAGAGATATCAAACCCGATAATATACTTCTTGATGAAGAAGGTAAGCGTCATTATGGTGTTTTGGTCAGTATATCATTTCATTTGGCTGGGCCATTTAGAACACAAAAGTCGATTTACAATGTGGTGTATGCGGTTTTTGGTTGAAACATGAATCTTCGTTCATAATTTCTTATGCTCCGTGTCCAAAATAGCTAGAAGCTTAGAACAATTTTGTGATTGACTCAAGTAGCATTTTATGAGTGTGCATTCACTCGTCTACGCTTCACACCGTAATGGTCGTAACGAACTCCACTAAGCGACAGAGAAAATTCCACTCAACAATGACGACGAAAAGAGCTGAATATATTTGGGCTTGTTCATAAAAACCAATGTTTTTTTTTTCTCTCTCGCTTGTTCGCTTTACCTTTGCAAAAATGTGGATATAAAAAAATCCGTTACGGAACACATGAAATTATTATCGCGCTAATACTAGCTTATAGAAGGATACGAATCAATGGTGCGATATTCAATCTATTGGAATACCAAAAACTCTTTGTCTTTCTCTCTCTCTTTCTCTCCCTCCTTCGCTGTGGTCTCTGTAATCTAGGTCATTTTCATCTGACTGATTTCAATATAGCAACGCGACTACAAAACGATGGATTTGCATGCAGTATGTCTGGAACAAAACCGGTATGTACATATAACACACACAATCCTTAAATCTAGATTAAAAATAGTGACAATAGAAGACATTGAGCTTCATGGATGCCGCTCCCAATGATATATGTATATATGTAATATCAAATGTAGAGAAGAGACATTTTGCGTAAGACAACACACCGAGTGCAAACCATTAAAATCCTGTTCATAATTCACTACGTTTATAACACTCTTGAAATGTGTTTTATTCGCGTACGAACAAATATAAAATATGTGAAATAAACATGATATGGACATTTGGATAATTTGGATAATTACACTGGCAATTATTGTTTCCTCATTAAAAACTCACATAAAACTAGAGTTTTCGATATTCATTTAATTTGCATAATTTCATTTATTTCTTTTTTCTTATAAACTCTTTCATTCATAGTATATTGCTCCAGAAGTATTCATGTGCGCCTTAGATCAAGTTGGTAAGTTACAGCTTAGTTCAGTTTGCAATTGAGTTGACATTCCATAATTCTAACATGAAACTTCGACTACTTCAAAACTCAATGCACTCAATTGACGACACAGTTTAATATAGGTGTAAATAATGAATGACAGTGGAAATTTTATTCGCACGATATTCACCAGAAAATTGATTCAAATGCTAGCTATTGTCTAAAGCGACTCATTGTTTTTTGTTGTGGTTTTTTCATGTGGAATTTCAGTTGGCTACTCATACCCAGTGGATTGGTGGTCTTTAGGTATTGTGGCTTATGAAATGCGAGCGGGTAGTAGACCGTTTGTCATTCATTCAACAACACCCGTGGAAGATGTTAAAGAAATTTTATTCACAACGCCTTCATTTCCGAGGAGTTGGAGTGCCAATTTCATCGAAATCATACGAAAAGTAAGTAGTTTTTTGATTGGCTTTTATTATATATTTACTCGTGTATATAATGCTCAATTGCTAGTCTGTGTATCGCATGCGGTTGACAGTTTCAATTTCGATTGTAAAATGGTTTTGTTTGCTTTTTTTTTCATTGATTAACCCAACTGTGTTTAGCTTCTGAACGTGAATCCAGATGACCGAATCAGTTCACAGAAGGAGCTATCACAAACAGCATTGCTCCGTAATATGAACTTTCAACGGATTCTAGCAAAAGACATAACACCACCATTCAAACCGCCGGCTGACCATTTAAACTGTGATCCAAGCTTGGAGCTTGAAGAGATGATTGTCGAGGCAAAACCACTACATAAAAAGAAGAAACGCTTGGCAAAACAAAGATCAGCACAACGTGATTCGGCCGAAAGTAGCAATGCCGAAAGTAATTTTATCAAAGAATTTATCGTTTACAATCGATGCAAAGAGCTTGAGCGTAAAGCAATGGACTTGAAAGAAAAAGAATGGCAAGACGAATTGAATACGTTGATGGCCAATTCGGAGGTGAAAAATTTAAGTAGCATTAAGGAAGTGAGCAACGAGCAAACTTCAGCATTGTTGCAACAGCACGAAATGGAAATTCAAAACGGACAAAATCGATTGATTTCGGCTAAATCAATCAAAGAAGTAGTACAACAAATAACCGATGCAAAAAATACGAACCCGCAAATAAATGCTGCAATCGACAGCGAGACAATCGATTTTATCGATCGAACACCGTCACCGAAATCGACCGCATAGCGCATCTTTGATTTGAGCAGAAAAATGACGATGAAGATGACAAGAAATCTTCTCCACAACCATACAATGTGTTTCTATTTTTCGCGTTCCAATCAGCAGCGATGCAATTAATTGTCCCGAACTCACCAATTATTATTCAATAATTATTCATATATACAAGTACCAATTTAATGATGATCTTATGCATTTATTCGACTGAATCTGACAACAACATAAAAACAAAGTGAACAAATCGACCATGAGGAATTTAAGAATTTGATGTACTGTACATACATATTACCAATTAACCAATTATCAGTAAGAATGCACACATGCAATTGACTACCGACGTAAGAAAATGTTTGCAGAAAAAAAAAAAAACAAACAATTATTTTCTAATTTGTACAATATATAAACGGGAGAAGGAGAAAATGTATTTAGGACCGATTCTTAGTAGAAAAAAAAAACACCCACAGCCTATTACTTGTTCCTTTTTTTGAATGAAAATACATCCAAAGCCTCCATGCTTAGGCTGACACATATGAATCCTACAAAAGCTCGCTGTTTTCTTTATCGTCGACACATTATTTTGCAGCAGTTAGCTAGATATATGGATGGAAAGACAAATAATAAGATGTTTGTCGGCTCTTTATTCAATCATGTTTCATGCGCTGAGATTATACACATAATGTCTATAATTCTACTATAAATCTATACGTGAGACGTAAAAGAATGTATGTTTTTTTGTCGATTTATATTTTTGAAAAGGAAAGTATGTTTTCTGTTGATTCTATCTGCGTTAAAAGGAATAATGTTGGCATCCCGTCTAGCCTCCGCGGTTTTTCACGGTTTCCCCGGAACTGATAAGAGATAACAACTTGGTGTCTTCGACAAAGTTGTAGTACTCGAGGTCTTCTATAATATTTAATATCATAATATTGCCGAAGACATCTATCTCTTATCTCTTATCAGTTGCGCGGAAAGCGTGAAAAACCGCGAGGACCCGCTAAAAACGAACATACATTCTTTTAACCATTATTAGTTGCAATGAAACATACTTCTCTTTATTGCTACGAAGTTGGACAAACTTGCGTTCTTTTACGTCTCACTAATAGAAATGTAATAGAGTAAGTTGCGATGTTCCACAAAAATATAAATCTCTCGCTAAAATTTTCACGTCAGCTGAAATCAGAGCGTGTTATGAGCTAACATCAGCAGTGTTGACTGAGCTCAGTAGCTGAAATCAGTTGCTGACGCGTATAAACACTACTCTGTTCTCTTTCTGTCGCATTTATAACTCATGCGGTAGCATATTATTCGCATTCATTCTTTTCAGATGCCCGGTTCACAATGGAGTGTAATGAATATGATTCTCATTGAATTTCATCTTTTTTCTATCTCTATAAGTGGGTTAAAATTGCTTAGAATAGTTTTCTTCACATAACAAACGCATATTTACTTAAAACGAATATTTATTTACGCGTAATTGATTGATTGAACAGATTTGGTTTTCGAGACTAAAGATTCCATAAACTACAATATTGATGGTTACAATCATACTTTTTAAATGGATTATTCTATAGTTTGATAGCATCTTGGACTGTATGAGGTAATTTTTTGCCTGTTGAAATGGAAAATCGAAAGGTTCAAATGAATGCATGGAAAAACTCTCTTTAAGATAAGCTTCATAGCAAAAGTCGATTCAAAATCTGAGAAAAATTATCATCTAATAGTACCTTTGGTCTCGGGAAGCATGAAGATGATGAATCCACATATAAGAGCAGCGCTTCCAAATAGAAGCAGCGGTAAGTTTTGCTTGTAGTGACTCTGAAAATATATTTATAATACCACACATTTTTTTGCCTTTAATTTTCTATGTTTGATTGCTTGTCTTGTTGATACTTCAATTATTATTCCGATTAATACCAATCTAAAAAAAACGAAAAGAAAAATAAACTCACCAATAATATAGCCAGTGGCGCTAGCATGCTACCAAATCTACCGATCATTGAACAAATATTCATCAGTAAGTTACGCATACCAGTTGGCCAAATTTCGGCTGAGAACACATAAAGAATGGCAAATGAACTCGATGTTGCACACATTCCGACGAAAAACATAATGCGAATGATCAATGTGTAATGCGATGGCACGAATGTTGATAAAATTGTTACCGAAGCAGCTATCGTCATTGTACAACACATCGCTGTGCGTCGACCTATATACTTCAACATAAAAAAGGTGATCAATGCGGCGGGCACTTCTGCAGCCATGGTTGTGATATAGCTCAAGTATTTGTTGCTATCGTCAGTAATTTTCGTTGCGTTCACACTCAAACCATAAAAAACGAATACAACTGAAATCCAACACAATGAGCACATGATAAGCCGTATGAGTAGGATTTTATTCTGGAAAATTGCGATAATCGATGAACAGTCATTTTCGCCATTTTTGCCACTGCCTTTGGCATCCGTGCAACTGTTTCGCACAATTTCCATTGATTTTTCCGACATTTCGCGATTGTTCTGTTTGGCGGTGCGTTTTAGAATTTTCATCGCTCGTTCATATTGGCCGGTTGCAATAAGCCATCGGGTTGATTCTGGTACCAGCCAAAAATAGAATGCAAGTAGCAAAGCCGGCGTATAAATCGCCGAAAGGAATGCTCGATAATTAGGCAAGAGCATAGCCATAACGCCCAATAGAATCTATATTATTATTTGAATGGTTTGGAGCGAAAATGTAATACAGAAAAGTTGAGCGGAAAAATGTCAAATGAAAAGAGATAGCTATATAGTTCACTATAGTTTACTATATAGCTATCCCTTTTCCGCTCATTCATCATCGAAATTTTTCCGCTCAACTTTTCTGTATTACATTTTCGCTCCAAACCATTCATTTGTCATTAATATCATTGGTATTTTGTTGAAGTTTCAAATCTCATTACAATATCCAATCGTACATATTATAACCCTTTGACGATCTTTGGAACACATATATCATATTCTGTTTTTCGCCCATAATTTCCACATTTGTCAACCAATTTTGATAAATATAGGCTTTTTGGAAAGAAATCACTCCACAGATGCCTCCAAAGTAAAAAAAAATCTTAACTTTTTTTTCACATTTTTTAAAATCTTATATTTTTTCACAGCCTGGAAACCAATGACAACTGGGCAATAGCTTTGACATTTCATCGATTGTCCCTATCGAGCGTCGCGTAAAATCTAATTATTCCATACCGGGCAGCTGCAACGTTGCGCTTCAAACACAAAAAGCGCCATCTGCACATATTTGACTATTCAATGTGAACTAGCTGTCATCAGTATCGTTGAGTCATCGATGCTCAATTTTGGGTCGTAAACGGTACATTGAAAATTGCAAATGTGCCGTTTATGACCCAAAATTGAGCATCGATGACTCATCGATACTGATGACAGCTAGTTCACTTTGAATAGTCAAATATGTGCAGATGGCGCTGTAAAATCGTTCACCACAAACGTCAAATTAGTATGGAAAGATGTCAATGTTGCAGCCTCCCGTTCCATACGTTAAAAATGCATGAAGAGAGCCGGTTTTACGCACATGACTTTACGCTGGCCACCACATTTTCTAGTAGCACAATCGCTGTTGCCAGTCAGGTGCCATGATTTGTATTTTTTAAATGGTCAGAGCTAGAACTTCGGGATATTAGGTGAAAAGATGCGGCAACCTTCCTCTTTCCAAAACTACCTAACATGTTCGAAAATATTACTCAGGCGATGAGATATGACTCTGTGCGTATTCATTTTTCAGCTTTACATATAACCTTAAGAAGTGACTGAAGAAATGGGGTCGACCGACCAAAAAAAAAAATTCTGATTACAATTTTCCTAAGGTTTTTGGGGTCGCTGACCACGAATCTGCAATCAGAATTGCAAAGTTTCGACCCGTTCAATGTTGGTCGTCAAAAAGTCAAATGGAATGAAGCAACAAAAAAATCAATGTACAAATTATCAATCAAGCGAAAAATTCAGTATACTTTGAATGTTAAGTAGCTAAAGTTTATCGCAGAAACGAATTACAGTCGCCTCAGCAATATACGATTGGTTCTCGACACACAGAGACAGAAATGTTCAATAAATCAAATCAATATAGCATAGTATAAATGGTACCTCGCCCCCAGGATACGTGGCAGCAATTGTAGTTGAGGCTAAAATCCGATATTTCGAACTAACCCATTCCACACACAGGACAAACGCTGCCATGTATGTTGTTGTGCCCACAGCGGCACATAGAAACTCCAACTGCAGTCCATGAAATAATTAAAACAAGAGGAGAAACGAAAGAGAAGACGTACGGAAAGTTCATAAGTTAGTCGAAAAGAGGAAGGAGGGAAATGGACGCGTTTGCACGCGCCAAGTCTATTTTTAGCATAATAAATCACTTACCACCATATACCACATGTAGCTTCCAACGAATGCTTTGATTAAACCAAAAATGGCACAGCTTACCATGCCAACAATCAGAACCGTTAAACGACCAAATCTACGCAAAATGGTGAATGAGAGAGTGAGAGACAAAGAGAAATCGATCATTCACATTGTTAATTGGTTAAATTGTTTGAATTAAGCTCACTTGTCACTGAGTAGTCCGGTTAATGGCATGAATAGAAATCCACCGATGTTATTTACAGTTCCAACGAGCGCCAATTTATACTCGTTTTCATCACATAAAATACCAAACTAAAATCATATTGAACATCAATTGATTTTATAATTGAACGTGATGAATGCAGTTTTATCGAGACTTTAAATGTGCTAACCGCTTACCTCTCGCATAATCCGATACTCGTCTGTTTTGAAAACATATTCATTGCAGCCAATGACATTGGATTCGTTGAATAAAGATTTTGGGCATTGACCATCCGGAGCTGATTGATGTGAAGTACCAAATCTCGAACACTTTTTCGGTCGCCCATTTTTGAACGGAATCGCGTGACTTAACCAATTTTGATCGTAGATTGTGTTGTTCAGCCATTCACACTCGGGAATTGCACACCTAAAAATGATTTACGTTACAATGAAAAGGATTTATTCGAAATGTGAACACAATCTGGTTCTTTTTAAAAATGGTCTTCTAAATGCAGCGCTTCAAATTCAAATGGTTTCACACTGGACAAACAAAATCACCGAAATATTGGACTAAGTCGATGCAAACGTACAAAAATCGGATAAAACTAGTACATGTTGTACACAGAACTAGATGAATGCTGTTGCCAACGATTGAAAATCGAATGAACATCGGTAAAGAAAACAACATTCGATTGATATGTACATTTCGCTGCAGCGGATGCTATTGAAAAGTGCAATGATCCATTGTATAGTTTTAGATATTCCGGTTCTATGGTCACACATAATTCAAGCCAAGAATTTGGCGGGCTCTTTGTCTATTTTGAACGAAACGAATCAACAGCGACGTCACTTGACTATGTGACTCACATAAAAGCACGCAACTAAATTATTACTTGCGGCATTCTTTTGTTCATTGAATAATATTCGACAAGAATACAAATGCTGATTGGAATCAAAACTATTGTAGTAATCAAATTAACTTTTGATTGAATGAAAAATAGAGTGTTTATGCATCGTCCGTCAGTCAAATTATATAAAGAAAACCATGCGATTTTTAACTTGATTCATAGAATTATGTCAATGTCAATGTTAACGCAAAAAAAAAACAAAATCACTCTGGTTGACTATTTTCGATTTGCGAAAATAAATTGTGAGCGTGAGCGTCACTCTCTCGAAATCTCGTATTTGAAATGTGTGTGTGTGTTTATGTGTGCTAAATATTTTGCAAATAACACGGTTTCGGCGAGTTCCTAAAACTAGGGTCGCCAAGCGGCTAATAATCACACGTGTGCAAGGGGGGGGAGTATTCCGGTTTTACCCCCCTCTAGGATTCCAAAATGTGGACCCCCCCCAGCGATTTGGAAAATTTGACACTAGATATAATCGATTTTCAGAAGTGAGGACCTTTTTTTTTAGGTCTTAATTTTTTTTTCACACCCATTTATAAATTTGCAGACCCCCCCTGGCAAAATCATTTTACCCCCCCCTAGAATTTTTGACCTTGCACACGTCTGCTAATAATAAACACTTCTTTCTTTTTAAATTGATGGAATGGTTGAAAATTTGAATGACACGTGTTATATTGATTCCGTGAGTGAATTTTTTTGTTTTGAAAATAGCAGATTTTCATTGTGTTATTTTTTTTAACTTTATTAATTTCTCACAACGTGAATAACAAACTCAGAGAAAAAATAACATAATGAAAATCTGCTATTTTCAAAACAAAAAATTCGAAAAACTTTGGGAAATCCGGGTCCCGGAAGAAGGTGTTCCCTAACATGCTTCAAACTCATGTCAAACTTGACATATGTGAATTCTGAATGGCATTCTGCACATCTACTGTTCACGACCTTTCAAATGGTACCAGTGGCATCAAAATAAGTTGGGTATAAAATGGTTAAAATGGTACAAAAACTTTTTTGGCTAACGCATTAATATATAGATAAATTTTTGTTTTGTTTTCAAAAAGATAGAAAAGAATAATTGCCAATATAAATTTTCACTTGCCTATAATCGTCCGTTGAGCTGGTCACTATGAATTCGACTGCATAAGTGGCCGAAAGTATGATGGGCAGAACCATCGCGATGCATTGCCCAATTTGATATATGCCGAATTCACCGACATCACTCAACACATAATCCAAATCATTGTGAGAATCGGTTTCGTCCGCCTTTTTATCACTCATTTTTCTAACGCGCTCTTTCTCTCTCTCTTTTTCTCTGTTTGTATTAATTGTTCCATCCACTCAACATAAACAAATCATTTGAATATTACATTCGATGCAATGTGTATTTTGCTGTTGCTGCTGTTTTGATGTTGTTGTCACTATTTATGTTACGAACTCATTTGCATGGATTATTGTTTACACGATTGAGCGAGGCGGACGAAGTACAATGCACCAAATTAAACTTTAATTGGAATGAGGGACCGCATGTGCGCGGAGCCAGAAATTAAAATTACGTTGTGTTCACCGTTCTCAATGTTTCAAACGACTGAAATCACGTTTCATTCGATTTTCGTTTATACGTTGATCATTCACATTTATATCGTTTGCATTTTTGCAACTGGCAGCCAATTCACACTGTGTGCAATTTTGTTATCAATATACAGAAGAGAAAAAACAATTTTATTGGCGTTAACGAAAATGTGTAATTGTCTGTCGTTGTCTGCAGACTGTTTGTTGAATAATAAAAAAAAAACCAACACAGTCACTTTGGTTCATGTTCTATCTCATTCCATTGTAAAATGGGTGACGTTAATGTTCTTTTCATTGGCTGTACATTGATCACAATCGATGCAGGCTAACGTATTGATCGAATTCAATTTATTTCTGTTGCTGTCCAGTCCTTTGTGTCACTACGAACAAACAAACGAATCATGTCACTATACACGAATGCCATTTGTTTTAAAATAAAGGCATCATTTGACTACTCTATTTATTCACTGCATAAAAACACTAAATGATACCACGTGTCACCGATTTTATACGCATATTAAAAGTAGACAAAAATATGAATTCTTCCTGAATCAGTCTGACTCCCAACGACTTAATTTCATAGAGAGTAATAAATTTGGCAAATGATTCGTTCATTTGTTCTCTCCAAACTTTATTTGGTGGGTTATATTAATTAATGACAGCAAGCAATGCACTTATCGTGGAATCATAAACATTAGCGTAAAATACATTCCATACAGATTACAATTATCAAATTGTGTTTTTTTTAGTGTTGATAAATGATTAAATTGGCTCAATTCAAGTACCTTTGACGTTAATCATAATAAAATAAATGAAATCTATGATCACCTTATCACATTTTTTTGTCTGCTTACCAATCTACGAAGGTCGTGATTTTTGTACAAAATTTATACGGTTTATTCGCTTAATTAAAATCAAAATGGCATCAATTGTCTGTCAAGTGTTTACTTTTTTGTCACAAGAAATTCCAAATTGTCCAGTCGAAATTAACACAATTATTATTCCAAATCGCCTGACCGCAAAAAATGCTTTTATTAACTGTATGTCACCGTTAAGTGATCGATTCGAGGATTTTTTCATCCTCGCGTGTTTGGAATTCTTTTTATGCACGGCGCAAATACAAGGATTCAAATTAATTGGTTTGATGTGGAAGCATGCCATTAAAAATAAAAAAAAAATATCGAGAATAATCACACTGTACATGTGCTGCAATTCGAGAATGAATTTGTGATGCAGTTTTTAAAATTTAATGGAATCAATCAAAATTTTAATTGAATTCATCGTCATACGTCACCGTATTTTGCTTTTAAATCTTTGTTTAAATTGAACTTGCTGACAATCAACGTTCTTGGATATAAGCGAGAAAAAAAAGCAGAGCTATTTTTATATTCATTCAAATGGATTATATATAAGAACACGATTGCGAGCACGCGAACATAAAACTCTATCTATATTATTGTATAACAGTGAAGGCGAATGAACAAGTTACTCGAGGAAAACGTTCATTGACACTCTAAAGCCTCAAACATAAAGCTCGACGAAATTGCTCATTTTTACGTAAAATCGTAAAAATGCAATAGAAAAACTACAATCGTCTATACTTACTCGATATATGTTGTGCGAGGGTACATAAAATCCACCAAACTATCGCACTCTATTCCAGATGAATGCTTTAGAAAAAAGCCAGCTGGAATTTCACAGCTTTATATGCTCAAACGAATTCAAAGATGTAAGGGGAAAAATAAAAAAAAACTGGAATTTTGTCTTGCTGTTACTGTTCTCATTGTAGTTTGCATATTGATTTATTATTGAGTTTTGTATTGTTGTATTATTTTTTTCTTTCGAAAACTCTCTGTCTCCGTCTCTTCAATGTCAAGTAATTGTGTACGAAATTGCATATTTTAAAATAAAGCAGTAATTAAAAGAAACGAACAGAAAAAATATGTATTGACACACAAAGTGGATATAACCGGATGAAAATCTATTGATTGTTGGCTGTATACATTTGATTTCCTTTTTTTTTTTTTTTTTCATTTTCACTTTACTGTTTTGTTGGATGTTGCAAATATTTATATAGTAATTTCTCTTATATCAAATTTGTTAAATTTCATCTATTCAAGCGGATCCCTCAATAAATGAAAGAAACAGAATGAAACACAATTTCTGAATTGATAGATTCGTTAAGATCCTAACTCGCACCTATTTTATTTAATTAACTTAGCTGTGGCAGCAACAGTCTAGCTGTGTTGTTATCGCTACTCTGCAATGCAATAAGCTTATGTATGTTGAAATAATTTGTGTTTTATTTTTCGAATACACCATTAAACATATATCCAGTGTAAATCGAATGAATCATTCCCCTACCAGAAAAAAGGATTTTATTAATGAATATTGATAGGCATTCACTTTTGATGTTCATTTGTTTAAACTTAATTTGTCAGAAATCTTAAAATAATGTACAAAGATTTCCTATCTACAATGAAATAAATGTGTTTGTCACACCGTATTTTTTTTTCTCTTCTTTTTCTTTTTCCTTTCAAGTGTTTCGTTATTGTTTTTTTTTTTTGGATTCTCTCCATTTTCACTTCTCGATTTTTTCGAAATATGTTATATTTCTTTTCGATTATGCAGATAATCATTTCTCAGTTCAAGTATTTAGAAAAAAGTAAAACAGTTTGCTATTATAATCATAAAATTAATTTATGATAAATGAAAAAAAAAAGAAGTTTAGTTCAATTTTTAAGGTATGTGTGTTTGTTCTGTTATTTTGCAGGTAATTCTAATTTGGACAAAAAAAAAGTGTGTTTTATGGCTATTTTCTGAATAAATATTCTGCAAAAAACTGGAAAAGTCTTATTATTTATTTCTTGTATTGGATTTTCCTAGCTTTTAAACGTTTGGCAACTGTTGTGCGATCAACTCCCAATGATTCTGCGAGCTCTTCTTGCGTCTGACATGAATCTTGATCCAGCAATGCTTCTAATTCTTCGTCTTCAAATTTTTTCGGCTGACCAGGGCGCTCTTTGTCTCTGATGTCAAAGTTACCACTTCTGAAACGTGCAAACCATTCCGTACACTGTGTTTTTGATAGGGAATGTTCACCATATAATTCCACAAGCAAACGATAACTTTCAGCCGCATTTTTCTTTGCAAAAAAGTGGCTTAACAAAACTTCCCGCAAATGCTGTTTTTTTCTCCAATTTTCCAAATTTTCCATCGTAAAAAAAATTATGATGCGCAAAACAAAATCAAACAATTTTGACTGATTCTGACAGCTATTGAATAGACCTACAAAATGATGTATATGCCATTCATATACGACATCGCATATTCAAGTGGCACCATCTAGCGTAAAAAATCGGTTATTAATTCACACACCCAATATACTAAACGTATTTTGTTATTGTTGTTGTTGTTTCGAAATGAGGGGTGCGATTTTACGTAGTACACCCCAAAACTACATGACATGAGTTCGTCCGATTTATCTTATCCGAGGTAATTTTTCATTGATTATATCCAAAGATATCATTTGTTTGATGCTTTTTTTTATTCGTCATTGTAATGAATTTTTGATGGATTTCGTGTATGTGATTTCGTTTTGATTTGAATGAAAAAAAAAAAAATTTGATCTAAAAGATAAAAAAAAAGTGGTTGCCGTTGAAGTATGTTTTTTCCCCTTCTGCTTCTTCTTGAGGATAAATTACTAATAACGATTCTTTTCATCTCTTTTTTTCGTACTTATTTATGTAATTATGCAACATGTTCGGACTTCTTAGTTGCGAGCTGTAAATTTATTTCAACTGTTTTCATTTTTCTCTCTTTTTTTTTGAAAAATTAGGTTAAGAATAAATATGTTGTTTCACTTTACGCGTTTTATTGTTCAAGTGTTGCAATGAATTGTGTATCGCATATTAAAAATAATAAATTTTTCCCGTTTTTTTTTTTGTCTCAATTTTTTTGTTTTTCTTTTCTAAATAACGATAGCACACAATTAACATGACTGACACAATATCACTAAACAACGCACAACAGAAACATATGGGTGTGTGTGTGTGTGTGTGTAAGTTTGACAATCAAACATGTGAAAAAAAAATAATGTATTTCTTAATGTATATTTTTATGCCATTTTTAATTTAATTTTCTCCCTACGTTCATTTCTAATAATAAACATATAAGTACGACGACAACTAAAAAAAGAGAACATATATATCAAATCAATCGTACTGCAAGTCAAATATCAAGTTTCATGTATGTGTGCTTTTCTTTGTGTTTGTTTGTGTTTTTTTCTTTCTTTCTGTTTTTTTTTTCTTTCAAATAGTAAAATTGCAAGCTAGCAACTATGCTTGTGAATCAATAGTAAACTAAATGAATTTGAATAATTTACAATTTTTGTTTAGCGATAAAATGTTGTAAAAGGTTTCCGTAGATCATTTCATCTACCTAAATCCATTCTTCCTTAGTTTCTTTTATTTTTATACTTTTCCTCTTTTTTTTTTGTCTGTTTCGGATTTATGCAAAGAGTTTCATCATTTGTCTGCGTGCGTGCACTAATTGTTATCAAATACCTACATACAATGTCCTCCCGAAAAAAATGTCCAAATATTCATGCAGCTTATGAATTTTTCTGCGTAAGAACGGCAATGAGGGGCTGAGCCTTTAAATCACGGAAGCGCGAAAAATGATTTAGTAACGGTTTTAGGATATCATTTTCGTAAGCTACATTCGCCAGCTGAAGATTGCCCAGTTTATCGACAGCATTTGATAATGCCGTTAAAAATTCTAACCATGTTGCTTGCTGTGTAGGGCTTATGGCGTTTGGTGATATCGCATAAACGCTCTCCATTTTCACTATCAGCACAATGACACACGATATTGAAAACTGTGAATAAGAGAAACAGTTCATAATTTTGATGTGAGCAAATGTTGATTTGAAATTTGCATTCTATTTAAAAAAAAAAAAAAAAAACACTTTCCTGAATATCATTCAAACGAAGACTAATAATAATGAACCGAACATACCTTGTTTGTAAAGATGTAGCTGAGTTTTTCACAGGCAATGAGCGTGTTAGTTAGCCGAAGTATTGAATCGATCGAGGCATTTTCAATATATGACTGGAACTCAGGGAACAATATAAACAGTGGACTCTCGGCATCGTCTCTGTCTTTTTTCACGAGCACTGGCAAAGCATCCAAAATTGCAATCCAAACATCCCATCGGTACAGATTGTCTTTGATCAGTGCAAGTATGCGTTTGATCAACGTCTAAGAAGAAAATCATTTTATTCGCGTCATTTATTTCGAATTTCAATTTGGTCTGTAGCTCTACGTTCATTTGTCTGTCACTTACCTTTCCCTTGCGAATAGTTATCATTTGTGTCACTTTCTCGTGCGTCAATCCGGTCAACAGTTTCTCCAATAGTTCCTCGCGTGTTTCTTCTTTATCTGCGCTCAACGACGATGATGATCTCGATACGTTCGGCACATAGTCTGGATTATCTTGGTTTGCCTCATTCAAGCGCTCTTGTTCGGCAGCAAGTAAACGCTCCTTTTCCTTACGCTCTCGAACAATCAGTGCAGTTGCTATGGCTGTTGGATCCTCCAAATCTTCCAGCTTGAGTGCGATGCGATAAAGTGTTTCTATGTGCAACAGAATTTGTCTGGATTTACGTTGTGTGGATATTTCAATGGTCGAAATGATTGGACTGCCGCTATCGGCCCCAACCACATCCATGTCAATAATTTTGCGTGGTGCCGTTACACTTCCGCATTGTAGTTTGCCCAATGAATTTTCAAATTGTAATGGTGTATACGTGCGTGGCGTCTCTTTATCTTTATTCGATTCGCTATTTTTCCGTTCACGCTGATTACGCTGTTGGTTCGTGCCATTTTTATTGCCCATCGAAATCAGAACTAGTTGTGCATGACCTTTTGGCTGAATTAACGGATGATTTAATTGGTTATCTTTGTGTGCTTTATTTTCTTTAATGCCCTTCAATTTGGCCCGACGCTCTTTGAAAACCGTATAGTAAAAGTCATCAATGTATGGCGTTCCTGTGTTCAATTGCGACAATTGAATGCCGATGAGCCACTGTTTGTCACGTTGGCTCATTAAATTTGCGTATTCATCATACTCCAATGTTCCGTTCATCATGCGATTCTGATGTGGATTGTTGTTGTTATTGTTGTTGTTCCGATGCTGGTTTTGATGCTGTTGCTGTTGCTGGTGCTGCTGCTGTTGTTGCTGTTGTTGCTGTTGCTGTTGCTGTTGCTGGTGGTGGAATTGCATATTCTGATGGTGAAGATTCATTCCACCCGGTAAGCCTGGTAGAGGTCCACCTTTCATACCAACTATTTTGTTTTAAAAGAAAAAAAAACTCGATTGAATTCAAAAGGGTTTCGTAATGCCATCTCACGAGATGTTATTGTCATCATCAAAATGACACTTACATGGAAATGCATTATTGCCTTTGGTGTTGTTTTTTGCATTCAATAGCATGGGGTGATTTTGTTGAATTTCATGCACTAAACGTTTGTTGAACTGATTGGCCGATGCCTGTAAAGCACAACAGAATCGATTATTCTCCTCTTTGTATTTATAATAACTGTTATGTTTTGAATAAATCATTTGAAATAAACGTTTTCTTTGATGAATCATCGTTTGGCTCGTGCCAGAATACAAAATACGAATCAAAATTAAAAAGCAAATCAAGAGAAACCCGTTACGTACAGACTGTTGTTGTTGTTGTTGTTGTTGCTGCGCCGATTGAAATTGCGGTATTTGCATGTGTGGCGGCATCATGCCAATTCCGATGCGCTTGTGTTGAGCCGTTGGTGGTGGAAGGCCCGGAGGCTGTGTCGGAGGTTGAGACTGTTGCATTTGTTTCTGGTGAATCTGCATTATCGGCGTTGGCGGAGTAGCAGTCCGCATTGAATTCACCTGCATGGAATCAAACAAATCAGAAAAAAAACATTCGAGAAAAGAAAAAAACATACAACTAAAGCTAAGATAGCCATAATGAATGTTCGCTTACGTTGAAATTGTTCAGTGGCATTGGTACATTAGGTGGAACTCTAGTTAAATTTGGGTGCATTTGCGATGCTTGAGCATTCATATGCGGCGGCAACATATTCACCGGGAAACCCATCGGCATTCGTTGATTTGAGTTTTTTTGCAGGTCGGTCGCTACATTTGGATGTGGCAAAAACATGGGTTGCCCCTTTGATGTTTGCGGCGCTAATTGTTGGGGAAAGGGCTGCGGGCGTTGATGTAGATTTTGCGGTGTTGGTGGTTTCATATTCGAATCAACTTTCTGCATTTGCTGATTTCGAATTTGATTCCGCTCCAAATCCTCTACTGACATGATTTTTGGGGGCACATTTGGCTAGAAAACGTAGGAGGAGAAACGAAAACAACCATAATTAAAACACAATTCGAGTTACATTGCTTGTGAATCAGTGGAAATATATTATATTAGAAACCTGTCTGGAAGCATTTAACATGTGTTGCTGTTGCTGTTGCTGTTGTTGTTGTTGATTGGCCAATTGCTGCTGGTGAAACTGATTGAGATTGGCAATGCTTGGGCCGGCAATATTCATTGAATTTGGCATAGACAGAAGATGCGGCATAAAATTCTCCGGCGGCATCATACCATTGAATTGTTTATTGTGAAACGGAACATCGTGTCGTTCTCTACTTGACCACACACTCGGATCCAATTGAACACGACCTTCAACATCATCGTCCACTTCCTCACAGTCCTCCAAGCCCATACGAGCTATATTAAAATCTGTGCAAATTCAAACGAAAATAAAAGGTGGTTTGACTTTATTTTGACAACACGAATCATTTGGATCAATTCGAATTTCCTCTGAAAGTGAAACATAGCGAATGAATTGTCATTTTCTGCACAGACATCTTTACTCTACCTAAATCTCCCAAATCACCATCGTCATTTTCGTCTTTATCTTTGCCACTAGTATTTCCATTGCTGTCAAGTAGCACGAGATTCTCGTGCTGTCCCTCCCAGTCATCGTTAGTGGCCGATCCAAATGTCTCGTCATTCAGTGCATCATAATCGTCTGGTTCTTCCAAGCCTCCGCCGTCATTATCGTATTGCTGTTCGAACGAAAACCAATTGAAATTACGTTTAACAACAGTGTCATTATATTTCATTTCATATGAACGTAATTAGTATGTGATGAAGGAAGGAGATCGATTGCTTATTTTATGCATTATAATTGGAAAAATTTCTATCACTTTAAACAGAAAGTTTAACACACACAAACACCAATTTCATTGCTGGATCTTATTATAAAACGTCAAAAATTGCCACATTCATCTTTATGGACTTGACCGAATACGAAAACTAAATGCAATCGAAATGCATTTTGGAAAATGCAAAAAATGAATTCACTCAACCGAATTTAATGGAAAAAGCTAATTTTCGCGAATAAAAAAGGGCTGCATGCAAACGGTGATCGGTGTGCGTTGGGACAATGCAGGCAGCATCATATGAAAAATGTGCGTTTGTTCGGGAAGTGGTAGGTGCTATACGAAAACTTTGCAATTTCATGGATATTTTACAATAGATTTCGTATCAATACCGATTTTTTGTTTATCATCTTACCGGTGCTGTGGTATCAAATCCAAAAAACGTGTCTGCCATCGAATGAAATAATTTATTTTAGAAAATAATGTCATGACTTGTCACACAGTCATCACCGATGAAATCACTATGGCCGCCATAGAAATTATTGCTGCACGAAAGAAAAAAATGATCCCCTCATTGAACCATGTACAAAATCGTATTCAATCGTATCGCTCTGCCTTTTTGGCTTCTTCTTCTTCTTTATCGTTGACTGTTATTCGATGTGTCTGTGTGGCCCGATGCAAATGGGATATTTTTTTTGCGTGTTACATTTCAAATTCAATATTTTTCTAATGTTTTTTTAAGAGTAACATTTTTTTTCCATTACAAATCTATGAAGGAATTTGATATAATTAAAAATCGTTTTTGACAGAGTACGATATTAATTTGATTTGAATTTCAAGCATAAATTTCAATACTAATCTGACAGTTCGATTGTATGACCGAAATACCGGCTGGTTGAGATGAAAATGCCATCAATTGCTGTCAAATAGCTGCAATGGTGTTAGACACTAGTTATTTGCTATGAACATGTTGCTGTAATTGTGCTTTTATTCGGTCAGTGTGTTATGTGTATTCGATTATAGGCGAAATCGAACGACCGCGTCCCGCCGACCGATAAATCGCTCAATATTCAAGAGATTTAGTGATTAAAGCGAAATAAACGAAGGCAAAAAAAACACACAAGTCACCAATTCTTATAGCATTTATCGGCTGGATTGAATATTGAAACAACGTTGTCCAGTTGTCAATGAAAAACGTAGCGCATCAGTTGTGTTTCTGTCATTGCCCCATTCACATTCCACTTGTTACTATTTGTTTACGTTCTTCATCGGAAACTTAGAATCATACAATACACTTCGAATATTTTTTTTTTTCTCGTTGGAATTCATCAAAAGAATTATTTGTGCCTAGATAATACTGGGGAAAAACGGAGATACAGAGTGTTCTTTGAAATTGTTATGAGATAATTTGTTATATCTTCGACCAATTTTTTTTGTAGAATTCTTCTTTTTTTCTAGTATAAAAACCTGTAATAATGATTCCAGAGAATAACGAAACCTATTTGGGAGTCGATTTGAGCACGCAAAAGGTAAATTTCTGCAGAATAAAAACTAAATTATTTCATTTCTCTTTGAAGTGTTCATTGTTCAATTTCAAGTCTCGAATCATTCCCATTTTTGGAAATAAGATCTTCCATATTTAAAAAAAAAAAAAAGAAGTGCCCACCTTGTGCGGTGGGTGTTTATGTAAATTCCATCAAATTGGTTTTTGTGTATCTTCTTCTTCTGTTAACTCAATTTTCATTTTGCAATCGAAACGAATTTTTTCCATCTCATTTCATTTTCTGTAATCAACACACACACAAAGAGAAGACAATGAAGAATATTGTTTTCGATCGAAAATCATGCTTATAGGAACTATGCACAACGTGTGTCTTCCGTGAGTTTTAGAGGTGACTTACATTAACTCACGTTATACAGTTCATTCAGACATTTGTTCATATATGTTTTTTTCCTTTTCTTTTGCGCTAATCAATTCATTCTCTTTTGCCATTGGGTCATTAAAACAAAAACTGCGAATGTATTTGAAGACAATTTCGTTTTTGCATTGTACCGCTAAAGGTTATCGTCGTTTCCTTATCAGTTGTCATTAAATCACTGATCCCTTGAACATTTTTCTATATACTAGTCTCTTTTTTTTCGATCAAGCATATCAATAGAAATCATGTTTGCAACTTATAGAATAAATGGAAGAAATTACGAGAAAAAGAGTTGCCATCGGTTACCGAATTTTATTATTATTTGAATGGTTTGGAGCGAAAATGTAATACAGAAAAGTTGAGCGGAAAAATGTCGATGGTGAATGAGCGGAAAAGGGATAGCTATATAGTAAACTGTATAGTAAACTATAGTGAACTAAATAGCTATCTCTTTTCATTTGAAATTTTTCCGCTCAACTTTTCTGTATTACATTTTTTTCCAAACATTCATTTAATAATGATACACATTTTCATTACGTGCACTTGCTTATGATTGAAAAAAATAGCAAATATACACATACACACTCCATAAATTTTTAATACAACGAAAAAATTGATAAAATATGCTGAACATTAATGAACCCGAATGAAAATCATTATCATTTCTGATTTTCTTCTAGCTTAAAGCCGTTATAGTCGATTCGAATTTGCAAGTGCTCGTACAGGCTGAAGTGAAATTTGATTCTGACTTGCCCGAATTTCGAACGCTTGGCGGGGTGAATGCAGGACAAAATAAAAATGAGTAATACTAATTGTTTCATATGAAAAAATAAAATAACATCAAATGTATTCAAGTTGAACAATTCAATAGAACATTCTCAAATGTGAATGTTTGACTTATGAAAATGAATAAATGTATTAATTCATCGCAATTTGCATATTTGTTTAGATTCCATGTGCGGCCAGTAATGTGGATTAAGGCACTCGATATAATAATCGATCGTCTGGTTGTGAATGGAGCTGATTTGAGTAAGGTGTCGGCTATATGTGGATCAGCTCAACAGCATGGCTCATTGTATTGGTCCAAGCATGGCATTAAAACGCTGGAAAACTTAGATGCCGACAAGTTTTTGCACACACAGCTTGATGAGACCGCATTCACATTGCACCAAACACCGATCTGGATGGACGGCAGCACGGAGAAGCAATGCATTGAAATGGAAGAAGCGATTGGTGGTCGCGATCAAATGGTCCAATTCACCGGTTCAAAATGCTATCCACGTTTCACTGGGCCACAAATTCGTAAAGTCTATCAAACGATGTCCGATTGCTACGAAAATACCGAACGTATTTCGCTGGTCAGCAGTTTTTTGGCATCTGTGTTCACCAATAAAATAGCGCCCATCGATTATACTGACGGCTCAGGGATGAATCTGTTGGATATAAATACGAAACAATGGTCGCAACCATGCTTGAATGCATGTGCACCAGATTTGGAGGAGAAACTTGGCCAGCCAGTTCCAAGCAATAGTGTAATCGGCCAAATTGGCACATTCTTTGTGCAACGATATTCATTTGATCAGCATTGCAAAGTTATCGCTTTTACCGGTGACAACGCGTCTGCTATATCAGGCATGCTTATCACACAAAATTGGCTCGCAATGTCATTGGGTACAAGTGATACCATTATGATGACATTAGAAGAGCCCGCCCAACTTGAAGAAGGTCATGTGTTCGTTCATCCAACTGAGCCGGGATTCATGGGAATGCTATGGTAAACGTTAATTCAATAAAATCCAACATATGACCAACAATTGCATCAATCCACATTTTTTATCAAAACGTTTTTCTTCGTTTAGCTTCCGAAATGGATCGCTTGTTCGGGATATCTTCAAGCGTTCTGAAGCAAACAACGACTGGAATAACTTCAGTGAACTGTTAGAATCGACACCAAGAGGCAATTATGGTAATATGGCTCTGCATTTTGTGCAGAAAGAAATCATTCCGAATGTGAAGGGCAGTCTTCGTTGGAACAAAAACAGCGACTTGCACATGCCAGAATCAGCGAAGGGGGTTGTGAAGTGAGTGATATGAATGTCAAACATAAATGCATAGAACACACAACTGATTTGATGATGTTTTTTTCTTCATTCACACAGGTTTTCATCACCACAAACAGAGATTCGAGCTCTGATTGAGGGTCAAATGTTGCATCACAAAGCGGTCGCAACGCAAATGGGATTTTCATTCGGCGAAGATACCCGGATCCTTGCTACTGGCGGTGCATCAGCAAATAAATCCATTCTTCAAGTCGTTTCAGATGTGTTTAACGCACCGCTTTACATTCAAAAGACAACAGAAGCTGCCTTATTGGGTGCTGCTTATCGCGCCAAATATGCCTTATACTTATCACGTTTGCCCAAAGGACAAACGGAACACGAGACTTATTTCGATTATGTAAGCAAATTTTTGCCACATCACATGCAACGAGTGTGTGAACAGAGCTCTGACTCCGAAAGCATTTACAATAAAATGCTAGAGCGTTACTCTGACATGGTATCCGTTCTGAAAAGAACCGACGACGCTTAACATTCAAACTACTTTCCAAAAATGGGAAGTTTCCATTGCAATACATTTGTGAAAAAAGAATCAAATTTCAAGCATTCCATATTGTAGCCAAAAATTGTAAATAATTATATACACCATTCTTTAAATTAAAATTGTACGACGAAAATGAAAGAAACATTTCTATTTTTTTTATTTATGTTTCGGATAATGCACAAATAAAGTTAAAAAAAACGATTGTTATAAAAATAAACCGAAAGTGTACCGGAATATAAATGTATCTGTTGTCAAGTGTCAAAAACAGGACTAAATGATCTATTAGGATTATCCGATGAAAGAATGGATCGGATCGGATCGATCATGTACTACTTCCTCTATTACTATTTCAAAACAATTATAAAAACAGCTGTCGTCTTGATTTAAGCATCATTCTTGTGTCGAATTTTCATTTAGATATTTGGAATTAATTCTTTTGCGATAAAAGTAAAAAACCAAAAAGGTAAAGAAATACTTTGGCACACAGCACAAATTTCGAAAATTATTTAGTTGTTATTTGAGTGATTGTTTTTTTAATTTTTGAATAGGTTACAGTTGAAATATTTCGCATTCTAAAATGGGTGATAACTGCGGAATAATTGAAAAGCAAACAGTTAAAACGAAGCGAAACAGAGTTCTTAGCATATTGGATCCAAATTCAGTAGAAAAACGACGACGGGAACACCACATGATTTCCCGTGCGACAACTCTCCTGGATTTGAATGATGACTGTTTGCTCACTATCTTTGGGAATTTAAAAGCAATTGAACTTTGCCATGTAGCAAATGTGTGTAAACGTTTTGGCCCACTCGCAGAGAGTGCATTTCGTACCACTCACAAATCCGACCAATTCATACAACTTTGTTTTGATGAAGGAAGCTGCACAAAGTCCGAATTTCGGCGGTATTCAGTTTGTACAATGTCGTCATTCTGGGTTTCATAATTCTCAACAAGTTCAGTATTTGCGATAACAGGTGATAAGTCCATGTTTACTCCAATTTGTGTCTCATTTCTATCGGGCAATTCACTTGGTTTCGGATCCGTGTCTGTTGGGATTACCAACAAATTGTGTTTGAGTCGAAAGAAAGAAAACTGAAAAAATAAATTCTAGCTCTAACAAGAATAAGACGATGGAATTTTATTTCTGTGTTTATTCGTCCGTTCACTCTAACAATCTTTACATGACTGAGGCTGGACTGTGGTCCGACCGTTATTTATATGTCGCGCTTCCAATGGGAGCGCGATTGAGAAATTCAAAAACATTGTTCGATTTCGAACAGTGTCAGTTTTACGTATTTCTGGCTTGACTGGCTTGACTTCAGCTTCGGATTCATTTCGTGGTGTGCCTTTCTTTGCTGATTTTTTCGTAAATTTTCCATCGGATTGCTGCACTTGTTCCCAAAATGAATAGGCTTTTTTCAACGATTCTGTACATGGTTCACACAAATAAATCTTCGCAGATTTCTAAAAAAACCAAAATCGTTTGGTAAAACTTATTGAACGCATCAATGAGTACAACATCTCTGCCGTTGCACTGAAATCGTATTTCCCGCAAATCATTATGGCCTTGCCACAAACTCTGCACATCAACTTTCCTGGATTCGGTGAATTTTCTGTGTCCATTTTCTTGAATTTTTTATTTTCTCGAGCTCTTTTGTTGTTTCATTTACTTTTAGTCGCCGGTTTTCAATTGTAAATGAACTCGATGACAGTGGTATACGCAGAAATGTCAAATGCCTTCGTTTTGGGGTGACCTGATGCGTTAATTTGAATATCCATACAGTTTACATACTCTTGAACCGCTTACTGACAGCAGCATTTTCGTAGCACGAAATTTCTTTTTTATTGAGGTTTCATTGCTAACAAAATAATTGCTTAATTTCCATGCAACACCAAAATCTATTCGTATAAAATCAATGAAAATTCTGGAAATGAAATTCCATGCCACACTTTGAACTGTGTGTTTGTTGGAAAGATTGGTGAAAAATTTTGTGTGTTTACATAGCAGCAATACAATTAAGGTGAATTGACGTTTCTCCGTTGCGTACTATTTTGTCTTTCTGTTTTGATTAAAATGGCGTTTGAGAAATGAAAATAGTTTTGCATGTGTAATTTATCCGGTGAGTGATATTTTTCAAGCAAAATCCACATATTCTATTGGATATGTGACAGATTGAATATAAACAGACGAAATTCTTGATTGATTGCTGTGTTAATAAAACGATGTGTGGGAATTTTTGAGGAAAATCATTGAGACCAAAGAATTTCCAGTGAAACAATTACAGCAAAAATACCTAGTTGTTTTTTTTTTGGGAGTTTTTGTGTGTTTAATTGGTTCCGTGTTATATATGTAATAGCAATCGGTGGGTTGAATTGAATTTATTTATTTTACAAAACTAAGCGAAAATGGGTAAAACAATAAATGGAAATAGAAATATTGCTTCTTCACATGAAAACCGAAATATTGCCGTATTATTGTCAAAAGATCATTTGATGTCGATATATGTTCTGTTGTACACAGGCCATTTGTCAATGTGTCACAGCAATTATTTTCACCTTCGGACATTTCGTTCAATTAGGTAACATGTAAAAATTGAGTATGTTTAATATAGTCAATTTTGTCCGGAGGCAAACACATTTTCATCCTTGTGTCTTTCAAAATGAAGTTTGCATAAACAATGAATAATCGCCATCAATGGCATACAAACATATGCATTCGTGGGTTGAATAGCTTTCAGCAATTGTACTCAATCACTACGACCACTGTCATGGGTAGAAGGGCAACATTTTCTGAAAAACCAACCAAAGCACATGTCCTGTGTGTCCATAACAAAAAGAAAACACCAAATCGATTCGCAATGTAATGAATTCTGTGCAAAATTACATAAGAATTGTAGTGTGCGTATGTGCTTCGGGTTTAGAATATTCTTTCTTCATTTTTTTTATTTTTTCATTTGAATAAACACGCGCTGCAAAGAAGACCGAATATAATTCCAGAATTAAACATTGCATTGATTCGTTCAAGTTGAAATCGTGTTACAATAATTTATTGGTAGCTAAAAATGAACGAAAATCTGTTTGACGCAATTCTATTTTGGTCGTATAAACATGATGATGATCTGTGAACGAGGAGCGTATGTGTAAAGAGTGGTTTTGTTTTGCGCTCGAATCAATTGATACTCTGTGGTACTGTATGCGTGTGTGACTGTGAGTGTGTACGTGTATGTCAGCTTTTCATTCAATATGAAAATTTGTAGGCAGTTTGAGAGAATGAAATTGCATGTGGTCGTCGAAAAAAAACCAAAATAATAGATAAACGTTCGAATTCATAGTTCGACGAATTCATAGTTGATTAACATTTCTAACGTCAAGGTGCCATCAATAAATCGACTAGAAAAATGCCTGATTATGTGTGATTCTACTGAATCTAGAATGCGATGGCGCGTGCGAATGAAAAAAAAAAAATGCTGCACTTTCTTTTAATAATGCGTATGAATCACACATCTGATCGAAAGGAAGACGTTCGTCTGTTACGTTATGCTAAACCTTGTGTATGTGTGTGATGAAATTTGCGAAAAATTTATTATTTTCGTTCGATGTGCTACGCTTGCGTAATATTCATTTCGCGCATTTTTGATTTCCCCGCGCTGCTTTTCTTTTACACCCTCAGTTTTTAATTTCGTTGTCGTAGTCGTCGTCGTCGTTGTTGTTGTTGTTGTCATTGGTGCCGTCGCCGTCGCCGTCGTCGTTACCACTGATGTATTTTTTTCTTGTTCGGCTTTTTGCTATCAGTTCATTCATTCAAATCGGATACATTCTTAGCCCCAAGTGAATTTCCCGATTATTTGTTCACCAGTTTTACACGGTCGTTTCGATCGGGTTACCGTCCAAATCGATGTGTGTTCCACAAATGTTTGCCGGGTAGTTGTTTTATCTGCCGATTTTCTTCATATCTGGAAAAAAAAGTTCGACTAAAAGTATTCTTTTTTGTCTTTTGTTTCATTCCTAATTTGTATTTTGATCAAGATTCATGATAAAGAAAAAATCTATCTAATCCTTCCTAACATTCATGTAGTTGACGACTTGTTTTAGTGATGAGTGAGATTGTGGCTGGTGAATTGATTTGAAATCGCTTACTTGACAATTTATGTTATACAATGCAACGACAATGGACGTGTTTTGATCGAATAATATTTTGTCACATGTGGTTAGCACCACAGTATCGATACACATAATATACTTTATGTCATTCAATCGTTTAAACACCAAATGAAACTCGACCGAATTGAATGAAGAACGGAATATAAAGAAGAAGATAAACGATTGGAACGTGTATTTATTTTGAATTTCAAACCAATTTGAATTATTGTGCGAACTAAATCGATAATCAAAAGAAAAAATATTGAATTTGGTAATTAGCACATGATATAAAAACGTATCGCCTGTTGACGAGATGATGATATCGTTATATTTCATTAATTCTGAGTGATCCACTTTGACTGAATCGAAATATTCAATAATTTTTGCATATCAATCTTTGACGCCGTTAAGACATTTCCATAATTTGAACAAAAAAAAAAAACGTTTTCCTTATTTAAATCATAAAACGTGAAAGTGTTTAATAATAAATTAATTTTTTGGTATTTGAATAGCCATCATGGTGTTCCTTCGATTGTTTCGAAAACGTATTTATTATGATTTATTTATTTTCTTCGTTTCAAACTATTTTGCATGTTGCTGGAGTAAAATCTTCCATTTTTCATACGAACATACAGAAAAAAAAAAATGATTCAATTTCATGTGGCATTTGGCCTGTGTCCATGCCTGAAAATGGCATAACCGAACTGAGTGTGGATATTTTCGTTAAATGCGCCGATCGGTTTGATGTATTGTAGTTCCACGACTATTGAATATGGATGACACGAAATTCAGCGCCGTACTCACGAACGAAATTATGGTGTATTTAGTGTAAAAATGTGCCACTGCCAGTGAGATCAGAGCATGTAATAACACAGAGCGGGAATGAGAGAGAGAGGGAGAGCGTGCGCGCGAGCGTTTTCAACTTTCCAATTAAACAAGAGAGAGAGAGAGAGAGAGAAAAGAAAGAAGTCTCTGCCTTTTTGATATGAGATATTTCATGAATCTGTGATAGAATAATACATGGGATCTTTTGGCTATTTTTAAATTATTTTGAGGCCAAAAATGTCGTCTTGTGTTGATTTGGTGTGAAACGCTTGTATATTTATACTATAGTGAAATGAGCAATGCGAACGGCTGTGAACGAAGGCGGTTTCTCAAGCAAACGAACCGAATGAACGAGTGAGTGAAAGAGTGAATGAGTGAGCAAAGTGTGAGGCTACGTGTGAAAAGGCTAGCAATTGTAAGATAAAATTACGCATTTTTATATGAGTTGGAAAAACGACGAATTAGCAGAAACAAAATTGTAGTATTTTCATTTTTTATTGTTTCGGTGGAGAAAAAGTAGAGAGAGAAAAAGAAAGAAAAAAAGAGCGCACATCACACGCCTGTTGTATTTTCAATTATTATTGTTGTGTTTGTAAAGCTAATTTTGTTTTTTGCTTATTTTTCTTTCTCCCTCTCAACAGACATGGTTTGCTATGACGAAGGAAGTGCACAATGTATCATATTAAATATGATGCCTGGTGCTATCACCAAGAGAATCATACTCATGGTACGCCCGTCAAATAAAGTGTCTACACTGTTCAACGATATAAAAAATCAGATGCAGGTCGACAATTTTGATATTTCACTGCAAACATCATCGCCCGAAGAGGAAGAGGTATAACAAAATATTCCATCACTAATTAACTCCGATTGAAAAAAAGAAATTTAATGCAATTTTCGATTTTATTTTTTCCAACGCAGATTTTGATCAGCGAAAATGAGGATAAAACGCTATCGGATATAGGCATAGATTTTTCATCAAAGAAACGTACAACGATCAAATTAGTGCCAATTAACCATTCGATGCATCGACGTTCGGCGATCGTCAGCGAAGCCGATTCAACGTTGCCAAGCTCATTGGATGATGAAGAGTTGGCACTTGGTGCATCAGCAAGTCCCGTCGAACCGACGAGCTCACCGATACCACTGCCACTATTCAGCGAAGAGCCAGTGACCCGAAATCACAATGATTCGATTTCTTTATATCCATGTACGTTTTCCATTGCCTTCTCGTCTCTTAGAGAATTTTAAGCTGCACCAATAGCTTTGTTTTGTTTTGTTTTTCTTCAGAAAATCTAACAGAACTATTTCATTTTGCAGCCTCTTCCTCTCGTTTGTCATCCGGCTATGTTGGTTTAGTGAATCAAGCAATGACCTGTTACCTAAACAGTTTATTGCAAGCATTGTATATGACGCCAGAGTTCCGAAATGCGTTGTACAATTGGGAACATGATGGCTCAGACGCAGCCAAAAATATTCCATATCAATTGCAACGACTTTTCGTAAATCTGCAAACATCAACGAAAATGTCGGTCGAAACGACTGACTTAACGCGCAGTTTTGGTTGGGATTCAACTGAAGCTTGGCAACAGCATGATATACAAGAGTTGTGCCGTGTCATGTTCGATACTTTAGAGCAAAAATTCAAGGATACAGCCCAAGCCGATTTTATAAATCGTTTGTACGAAGGAAGAATGATCGACTATGTGAAATGTTTGGATTGTGGCACCGAAAAGTCACGTGAAGATAAATTCCTTGATATTCCGTTACCAGTTCGACCGTTTGGCAGTACGATAGCGTACGATAGCGTTGAAGAAGCACTGCGTGCCTTTGTCGAACCAGAAACACTCGATGGCAACAATCAGTATCATTGTGACAAATGTAATAAAAAGTGTAACGCTCACAAGGGATTGAAATTCTCCAAGTTCCCATATATTTTAACGCTGCATCTTAAACGCTTTGATTTCGATTACCAAACATTTTTACGCATTAAACTGAACGACAAGTGAGTTATTTGTTTTTGTCTTTGTTTTTTTTTTTTTTTTTGTCTAAATGAGTGGGCATTACATCATCAGTGTTTATAATTGGCGTTTGTGTTCGGTTTGGTGTTTCTTCGTTTCGTTTCAGAGTGACTTTTCCTCAAACGTTGAATTTAAATAGCTTTATTAAAGAATCTGATGCAAACAACGTATTCGCCCATACGAATAGTTCGTCAACACATTGTGATACAACGTCCTCAGAGCATGGTAGTGTAGAAAGCGCTATCAAATGTGACGATTGTAGTACAACCGATTCTGGATCCATTTTAGAAGAGGATGTTGCCTCAACCAATACGTCGAATGCAAATCATCGACCCGATTTAGAAGCACCAGATGATGATGAGGGCATCGATATGACCAGCAGCAGTACAGAATCCAAATCGATTTTGGGCAGCGATCCCGGACCGTACAACTATGAATTGTTTTCAATTATGATTCACTCAGGCAGCGCATCAGGCGGTCACTATTATGCATATATCAAAGAATTTGAGAACGGTGAATGGTTTTGCTTCAACGATCAAAGTGTGTCTCCGGTATGTAGAATATAAAATTATTTCAATCTCTTCATTGAAAATGCTTTTGAATATTGTGTGGATTACGTGTTAAAAATAGAAATTGCTGACGAAGAAAAATATGTAGCACAGAAAATGTAATCGCTATAAATTTCTCGCTATTTAGATCAGCAAAGAAGATATCGAAAAATCGTACGGCGGTTCATTGGGTGCAAGAACATTTTATTCAAGTGCATATAGCTCCAGTACGAATGCGTACATGTTGATGTATCGACAAATTGATCCCCGTAGAAATGTGTCAGCCATCAAACGAGAAGCGTTTCCAGAGCACATAAAAGTATGTTGAAGGTTCAGTGATCGATTCTGAGCCTTGAATCATCATTAGTAGATTCTAGTCATATACATTGAACTAATAAATCGCCCAACTTATTTCTTTAGCAATTGCAAAATACATTGAAGGAAGAACATGAGAAGAAACAACGATCAACCGATTATAATCTCCAAAAATACAAAGTCTATTGGTTTGATCAACGTACCCAGCAAATGGCAAATGTTCGTATGTTTTTGGGTTCGGATGCGACATTGGAAGAGGCACTGGAAAGTGCACACAAACGTTTCAAGTTGCAAAATATTGTGCCGATGTCACGTTGTCGCCTAGTGGCCTATGATAGCAACGAAGAGAATGTTCTGTGCAGTTTTGATGGCAAAGAATCCGAACAAATTCGCGATCTGTTGAGCGAATTGTCATCATCCGAACTGTTACTGGAGACTCGCGATGAAGATTCTAAATTTGAAGTGTATGTACCTGGTGATATTGAAACGAAAGTATATACCGTTGAGATGTGCTCAGCCGATATCGATGGGCCTTCCAATGTTCGCATACATAAGAATGCCACAGTAAGGAAGTACAAGGAGAAATTGGCTCAAAGTTTGTCTGTACCAATCGATGAAATTTTATTGGCGGCTTTTAAATATTCATCCACAGCTGCTCTCCTGGATGTTGACACGTCAATTCTATCCGATGAAGATGTAAGCCACGGCCCATTGTGGGACCATTTTGCCCATGAACATTTTCAACTTTTTTATTGTATTCATTTATTTGTTTGCAGGTAAATCACAAGTCAAAGATATTTCTCACATCAAAGGCGCGCTCAACTGATTCAAAGAAGTTTTTGAAAATTGTTGATCGATCAAATCATATTATTTCGCTTTATTTCACACTACCAAAAACTGACAAAGGTATATATAACTTGAAGATGACAATTTTTTCGCTCGATCAGACTTGAATAATTTTCAAATTCAATTTGTTTTAGAAACGCTGGAGAAATTATCGATTCCTTCTTACGATCCATCAGCAACGAAACTTTCACCGGGAATTCATAATAATTTAGCCAGTAGCCTAACAATAAGTCGACCACAATTGGGCGATGTGGTTGATGCTGTTATGAAATCTCCGCCAATCGTTCAACTTGACTACAGAAGTGCAACGAACAGTGCGCATAATCAAATGGAGCCGGAGAGCAATAGCGAAGACAGTAGCTTAAGCGATGGTGATCGAACATTGGTTGGCGATGTAAGCCCGATGCTAAGTGCCAGCAATTCACCAGCATGCTCCGACCAACATTTATCCAGCCCAGAAGATCACACAAAAATTAATGGTGACGCTTATGGTGATGATGATACCGATATGCTTGATGTAAATCAGGCCGCGAAAAAATACTATTTCAAAGCCACTTACTACGAGGAGCCAATCATCGTCGATAACAACGAAGAGCCGATTCGTCGTACATTATCGGTTTTAGTTGACAGTCACATCAATGTGGCGAATCTAAAGCGTGTTTTAGAGCCATATATCAAAGTTCCTATGGAATACTTTAAAATTTTCCGACACAATTCATCTCAGAACGAAATCGAATGTACGAGATTAACCGAAGACCTGCGATCGTTCAAGTATGTATACATTCTTATCATTTCAGTTTGAAGTTTCAATTGATTTTCTTTTCATTCAATGTGGAATTAATTTTTTATAAAAAACGTTCATTCCATTCACAGTGACGGTGAACGTCTAACCATTGAATTGGGGCGAGCACTCCGTAGTGGCGAATACAAATGCAAAGTCTACTACATGAAATTGTCCGAGATCAGTGAGACGAGCGAAACGCTTACATTTTTATGTGATTGGATTTTATGTAATGGTGCCAGTGTTGGCAAAACAAAGCGTGAGATTTTGTCGCAAATCGCTAGCAATGATCCACAATACGATATCCCATATGAACGTTGTCGGTTGCGGAAAAAGAGCACGTATGCCCCAAGCAAAATCTTCTTGGACGACCAAGTGTTTGGCGATGATGTGATTTTGTTATCCAATTATGAGGTTAATTGATGACATTTCTGTCAAATTCTGTCAACATTTCTGGCGAATATCGGTTAAATGTTGGCGTACTATTATTATATTCACAGATTATTCTGCAAGAGTTGGAAGAGCCAAGCCAACAAGTTACAGACGATAAAAGCCTAACAATATTCATTCGCAGATGGAATCCGACACAAATGAGTCTGGGGCCGTTCAATGAAGTCACCGTTTATGGTGAGTGCCACCGAATTTAGCAATTAAACAAAAAATAATTGAAACTTTACAACATTTCAATGATTTTTCATTATTTACAGAAAAAGATAACATGAAATCGGTTCTCTCGCAACATTCTGGTATCCCAGAAGAAAATATTGAATTTGCCAAGGTAGAAATTAGCGGATCTTTTTTCTTCAAATTGTTGAATCATTTGGTTTGGCTCTATTGAAGAGGAAACCGAAAAATTAGTGGTGTGTTACAAATCTTGATTTTGTTCTCGAATAGGTACAAGGTACGTTCCCCCATCATAGTGTCAGCATCCTAGAAATTCACACATCGCTTCTTTGGAATTCAAATCCAACCACATTAAATGAATTCCCATTGAGCAATTCACAAGATGGCATCATGTTCTTCTACAGGTACATTCACAATATTCCGTTTCATTGACATTGACATTGACATTGATCACACACTATTGCGATACTTATTTTTGTACAATTTTCTTTGTTCAACCTTTTCAGAGATAAAACCGAAGAGTTAAAACAATTGACACCACAAGAACGACAAGAACTGAAAAACCAAGATGCTCGTAATGGCTACGGTGCATCCAGTTCATATGATCGAATGAGTCGGCGACGCGAACGAGCTCTTAAAATATATGTGGATTCGTCACCAAAAAAACGAGACGAATAGAACAATTGAGAAAAAAAAAATCAAATAAAACTGTGCATGTAGTTAGAGATCACAAAAACAAAAATAAACTCATTTTTTTTCTGTAATTACTCTTTTAAATTAATGCTATTATAATTTTTTTTTATAAACAACATCCGTGAGACTTATTATTTTTATTTGAATTGATTACTTCAATGCAAATTTTCAAAGAGAAAAATGTACAAGTACATCCGCGAATAAAAATGTGGAAATGAAATGGAGCTTGAATTTAGAAGCAACAAATTTAAATAAAAATCAATTTCGCACAAAAATTCGAAATGCCAAAATAATTTTTGTTGCATCATTTGAAAAAAAAAACGTGTTTATTTTGTGTACACAAGATTCTACTGAGGATTGATTACGCAATGAAGAGAATGAATCATTCAAAATGCTCGTATGTATCAAATGTAAGTATCGGTATCATTTTTCCCCTCGGAATTAATCAATTTAGGACCGAGAATCAGACGTGTCCAAGGGGGGGTATTCCGGTTTTACCCCCCCTCTAGGATTCCAAAATGTGGACCCCCCCCAGCGATTTGGAAAATTTTACACTAAATATAATCGATTTGCAAAAGTGAGGACCTTTTTTTTTTTTTTTAGTCCTCACTTTTTTCGGAGACTGGTTTTACACTAGATAGAATCGATTTCCAGACCCCCCCCTGGCAAAATCATTTTACCCCCCCTAGAATTTGTGACCTTGCACACGTCTGCCGAGAATCCAGGTGTATCAGTATGCAGGGCCTTTTTTCATTCCTCAGGCGCCCTTGTGCAAATTTTATATGTGCACCCCTAGAAAAGATCTATTTTTTTTCATTTTCCGGGTCTGCGGCGCCTCAGGGGCGTCATTGTTCATTACACAACTTCGTGTCAGAGCAGAAAAGACCTCGCACATAGGGAAAAAGGCCCTGTCAGTGACCCTGTGATAGACCATTTTTCACACTACTCTCGGATGAAGCAATATTTCAATTTAGTTGCACCACATACATTTAACACAAATTTTCGATCGCTCATTAAGTTTATTCCAACTTTCATCTATCTACCATATTCGTTGAATGACAACACACTCTATCTTCTTCTTCTTTTTTTTTCCCAATAAATAGAAATATAATTCTGTTTTTTTATTACATCACAACATATTATCCATCTCAACGACATAGTGCCCGTGATATTCATATGAATGACCATAAAAAAGCTTTGCTGCCATGGCAAACTGGAGGATTTGTTGCTTGGCAGCCTTCTGCCAAGAGATTTGAGATGCGTGCAAACGCTAACATATGAATGATGTGATAGATCGACTTTGGGTCATGTTCACGTTATCTTGTTTATTCCATTCATGAGACCAACGATCTGTTTTCCATAGCAAACCACTTTGTATCGGACGCATTATTATACGACACACACTGAAGTGTTTCTCTTGATTGTGCGTTTTCTGATATACAGAAAATATGGAAATAACCGAAACGAAAAATCGATTTTCAGTGAGCTATTTTGATGTTTGTGTATCGGAAGAGGAGATTGGCAAAATATATGTTTTTGTAACTCACTTCAAACTCCATGCTGTGCTTTATGCCTGTTACTATATAATGCCATAATAATAACACCCATAATTGCGCTCATAAAATGTATTTTTCTTCCTGCATATGATGGAACTGATTGAACATTAAGCAAGATACAAAGGTCGACAGAAATGATGTATGCTGTCATTTATAATATTTTCCAGTCAATGCCTTTTTTTTCCTCGGAGTTCAAAACTTTGAATTTTTTTAATTCCAAAACAGATTCTGTTTTTATGTTTAATTATTATTATCTGTGACTAATTACAAATTTTGATTAAACCGTTATTACCAGTAAGATACCTAAAAAATTTCATTTCCATACATTATGATGATGCTATCCATCTATTGTCTAATCCATCCATACATTGTGATGTAGTACATTTTATGTAACGTCTAAATTATAGTTTGTTATGCAATAATAAATCAGACCTAAATGAGTCCTCTTCGTAGATTCTAACAGACTCTACGCTTAGCGTAGAGCGAGAATATGAATGTGTGAACTTTCTTGTTTATATTGGTATTTAATAATGATAAACTGTGATAAAGGACTTCTGAAAATATCAATCACATTCGAATTTGCATGGTTTAACTAATGCAAAAATGTATTGTTTGCACTGGTTCTTCGTCATCCTTTGTTTTTTACTTTCTCAGGTGTCAAGAATCAAACAAAATGCCATGGATTTGTGATTTTTTCCCAATTATTCCTAGCATCCGTGTTGAATATTTCATTTTTATATTTCGCATCTGGCTCAAAGTGTCCAACGTTATTTCGTTTTAGAAATGCTTCAAGTTTACTGTTCAAAGTCAGCAAATATATCTTCAGCTTTATTTTAAATGAATGCATTCTAAGTTATTCATCTAGTAAAAAGTGTGACTGCAATCTTGTTTCCACTTCATTTCGTTGAGTATCATTCACCGTGTTAAGTTTGTTTGTTCTGTGTGACGAAACGGAGCTAACAAGATTTCTTACCGGCATTAATCTCTCTGAAATGAATCCGAAATTAGTTTATTTTTGGCCTTAAACAAAATGCTTCCTATTAATGTTAACTAAACAAAAACAATTGTCTGAAGAGAGAGAGAGAGAGAGAGAGAGAGAGAGAGAGAGAGAGAGTGCGGGGTGAAGGAAAAGCCACCCAGCATTTGCGCCACTTTAATAAAGTAGTCAGGAATTTTACTTGTGCGGTAAGTATAATAGGAAACAAAATTAATTGCGGTGAAACGTATACATGAAAAGTAACAAGTCTCCGATTTGTTGAGGCAAAAACGAGGGTGAAATGATTTGCGCGCCGCGTGTAAAGTAATAAATACGCATCTTGCCACCAGAATACATACATTTGCCACATTGTTCCGTTGCTGGTGGCGTTTTTTTCCCTTTACACGAAACGGTAGTGAGAAGAAAATTTCAGTTAATAAGATGTAAAATACGACGTTTAAATGGTTGAAACAAAATTGATGAAGGGAAGTGGCAACCAAACAATTGAATAAACGATTATTATCAATTTTCTGATGTGGAAAAGAGCGCTCATGGAAAAATGAGTTTTTGAAAACATGCAAGATTTTTCATATCTTGAGGAAAATTGTTTTTATGCATTACTGAATATCATTTAGAATGGTATAGTTTTTTTTTTGCTTGAAGTTTAAAGTACATAATGATGTTAATATTTTAGAAAATCTCCTCCGAAATTCATCGGCCGCGTTCTTTGTTGGCTTTTACAAAGAGTTTACATTTAATCAACAAACTTATTTTTTTCAAGCAATTTGCATTTCGTTGGATCTCGACAAAGCGACGGCAATTTTAATATTCAGGTATTGTTCACTTTTCGCTATCGACGATGAAACAGTAAATTAAACGCCAATCGCGGTTATTTTGAATACACAAAAAGTTCGAGTACAATCGGATTCTAGTGAACCGACGGGATGGCTTGGCATTTCGCAACACAAATGCAATACAAATTATTTTATTATAAAAGATTATGAGCGCACAAGTGTTTCCGCTGCTTTTCTTTCTGTTTATACAGTCTTTCTCTCTCTCTTTTCCTCTGTATATATGTGTGAATATTTTTTTTTTTTTGGAAATCCTCTGCAGAAAATCCACTTTACTCTCAACGGATCTTAATTTGTTAAGCGTAAAAAATGCGCCCTAAAATATTATCAAAATCATGCTCGCGGAAAATTAAATAGTGGATACTTTACTATGTGGTTTATTTTTCATTTCTTTTTTTTTTTTTAATAATTTTTCGGATGCTGTTGTTGTTCTGACTATTCATTTCTGAATATATCTGTTCGCTTGAAAATTTAGCCATGTTTTTATCATCATTCTATGTTCATTCATGGGAAAATCACGCCCAACGACCCATGGTCCAATAAGTGGGTGCTTAACATCGTAAAGTACAATGTTTTCGAAGACCATAAGTAGATTAAAAAGAGTTGTTTTATTTTGCCATTGTTCGCACGACCCGAGCGTTTTTTTCGGTTAAGTTAAACGATTACAAATCAAATTTTCGAACTGAGACCATGATTTTGGTGAATGTTGTGGCATTGAATTATTCATTAACTTCTTTTCCATCCACGAAAACCAAGTGCCAAAGTTTTGTCTTTAACGCAAACAAGCAAACATTGAGTAAAGTCGTGCAAAAGTTTTGGTCACATGAAGTTTCAACATTGAATCGGTTGATAGTTTTACCGTTGTTGTTCATCTTCAACAAAGAAAAAAAAAAAAAAAAAACGATTTCAAACAAGTTTTCGATTGCTTTTTATCAAATTGAGTCCACTTTTGATCAACTCAATGACATTACAATTAATGATCGATATTTCAAAAAGAAAAAGAAAAACGAAACGAGAACAATTGACAAAAGAAAAGGAATTGTGAATCGCATCTGTTGAAAATTGCCCAGTATAATCTGTGTGGAATTGATTTCGAATATCAATCATGATGCGAATTGGTGCAAATTTCAAGATATCAATTGCACACACACAGCTGAGAGTAAAATAAATGACGTTTAGATTTGCTTGATAATATCAGCGATTTAGTGGAAAAAACACTTGCGAACGAATGAATCCACATGGGACTGATGAGGAGAGACGTGAATGAGTGAGCCTTGAAAGTGTCACACACACACACACACACACACACACCAATATCGCAACGGTCCATATAAACGGTTCGATACTCTTTTGCCACTGTCACGCCTCAGTAGAGCCGTACATGAGATTTTCCCTGGTGTTTACCATTTCATTTTATTCAATTCACGACAAACGCAAAAGGTCACATAATCAAATTTTATATCCATCAAATGTGATGGTGTGAAACATTGCCACAGCTCTACTTTTTATACGTTTTCTTCTTTCTCTCTATCTTTCTAAATAAATAATGTACGTATCATTTTTTGTGCGCTCTTATTTTGATCAGCATTGTTGCTAAGCTAATGAAAACAAAATGCAGCTCAACATTTTTTTAGTTCATTCGACTGAATGGATGATGGACATAACATACTACATTTTCTGATAACATA